CACATATATTTTAGTGTCTATCTTTTCCTACAATAAAGTGGACAATTATGAGGGTAAGACGTTCAGTTCACGGCTTTATTCCTAGTGCTTAACAGTGGCATATGTGCTGGTAGTTGATGATCAGTGTGTATTTTTGGAATGAATGTGACATGTTCTAATAGAAGGATGGAATGAACACTTTGTGGGATGGGTTAATCATGGGAGTTATGGCCAAAAATAGTTTAGAATAGATGATTTACTGCAATAGTTTTCAAACATTTTTTTCTTTTCTTTTCTTTTTTTTTTTTGAGATGGAGTCTCACTCTGTCACCAGGCTGGAGTGTAGTGGCCTGATCTTAGCTCACTGCAACCTCCGCCTCCTGGGTTCAAGTAATTTCCCTGCCTCAGCCTCCCGAGTAGCTGGGATTACAGGCAAGCACCACCACTCCTGGTTAATTTTTGTATTTTTAGTAGAGGTGAGGTTTCATTCACCATGTTGGCCAGGCTGGTCTCGAACTCCTGACCTCAGGTGATCTGCCTCCCTCAGCCTCCCAAAGTGCTGGGATTACAGGCCTGAGCCACCGCACCCAGCTTTTTTTTTTTTTTTTTAGAATTGGGGTCTCACTCTTGCTCAGGCTGGAGTGCAGTGGCACTACCACAGCTCACTGCAGCCTTGACCTCCTGGGCTCAAGCAATCCTCCCACCTCAGCCTCCTGAATAGCTGGGACTACAAGCGCATGCTACCACTTCTGGCTAATTTTTAAATATTTCTGTAGAAATGGGGGTCTCCCTATGTTGCCCAGGCTGCCCTCAAACTCCTAGGCTCAAGCAATCTGCCCACCTTGACCTCCCAAAGTGCTGGAATTTTGGGACACACACACACACACACACACACACACACACACACACACGTATATTTTAACTGGAACTCATTTTTTAAATGGAAGCACAATTTGAAAAAGGAATGAAACCCAAAGATTGACATGGGGCTGGAAAGGAAGAAACCCCAATTCAGCTTCTTCCCCTTACTCTCCCCTTGGAACTCATGATGCATCTTAAAGCCCAGCTTGAAAGCCACAGATCTAGAGCTTGGGTGGCATTCTAGTAAGCTAAGCATCTAACCACAGCTGGGAGCCACTGAAAGTTTTAAGCAGGTAAATGACAGATTTATCTATCTATTCATTTTGAGACAGAGTCTTGCTCTGTCACCCAGGCTGGAGTGCAGTGGTGTGATCTCAGCTCACTGCAGGTTCTGCCTCCCAGGTTCAAGTGATTTTCCTGCCTCAGCCTCCAGAGTGACTGGGATTACAGGCATATGCCACCATGCCTGGCTAATTCTCGTATTTTGAGTAGACACAGGTTGGCCAGGCTAGTCTCAAACTCCTAACCTCAAGTGATCTGCCTGCCTCGGCCTCCCAAAGTGCTGAAATTACTGGTGTGAGCCACTGTGCCCAGCCTAAATAACATATTTAGATTTATGCTTTAGGAAGCTTAGTCTCATGAGAATGGGTAGACTGAACGATGGCAGAAAGAGAAAGCAATCGGGAGGACCAAAGAAAAGCCTGCTGCAATAGGCAGGCTAATACTTAAAATACAGGAGGAGGGGAAAGGTGAGCAGTGAGAATGCAAAGAACAGAACAATGGAGACAGCTGTCTAGAACCTGGCATTGCCCAGAAGGCAGAGGCCCTTAAGAGTAAAATCTGTCAGTTTCATGCCTTCGTGACTGGTGAATTTAGTGAATGCACACGAGGTGAAAGGCTGGGAGAGGAAGCAAATACCACCACTTCAGATTCAGACAGTGTCTGAGGTGTGAAAAACGGACATGAGACTGACCTACAAACAGATGAAATGCGGTCCTCAGGTGATACGCCTTGTTAGGAGTCTTTACGAGCCATCTGAACAACCATCGTTGAGATGGTATAGAAGGCCACCAAGTGCTCCAAGTGTGTCCAGAACAGAGAGGCCGGGTGCAGTGGCTCATGCCTCTCATCCCAACACTCTGGACGGTAGAGGTGGGAGGATGGCTTGAGGCTTGGGGTCGGAGACCAGCCAGAGCAACATAGCAAGACTCCGCCTCTACAGAAAACTTTTTAAAATTAGCTGTGGTGGGCAGGTCTGTAGTCCCAGCTACCGCAAAAGCTGAGGTCAGAGGGTTGCTTGAGCCCAGGAGTTCGAGGCTTCCATGATCATGCCACTGCACTCCAGCCTGGGCAACATAGGGACACTCCATTTTTACAAAAAAATAATTAGCCAGGCGTGGTCAGCTGTGTGCACCTGTTGCCCCAGCTACTTGGAGGCTGGGGTGTCTTGAGTCCAGGAGTTGGAGGCTGCAGTGAGCCATGATAACACCACTGCACTCACAGCCTGGGTGACAGAGATCTTGTGTCTCTGTCTCTGTCTCTCTCTTTATTTGAGACAGTCTTGCTTTGTCACTCTGTCTGGAGTGCAGTGGTGCGATCTCTGCACTCCGCAACCTCTGCCTCCAGGGTTCAAGTGATTCTCATGCCTCAGCTTCCCAGGTAGCTGGGACTACAGACACATGCTACCATGCCCGACTAATTTTCCTATTTTTAGTAGAGACAGGTCTCACTCTGTTGGCCAGGCTGGTCTGTAACTTCTGACCTCAGGTGATCCTCCCGCCTCAGCCTCCCCGAAGTTCTGGGATTAAAAACATGGGGCCACCGGGCCCACCTAAGACCTTGTCTCTTAAAAAAAAAAAAAGGGACAAAATGGGGGCTGGAGGAGGGAGCCGTGCAGAACAGACACAGAACCTTGGGGAACAGAGGCACAGTGCTGAGTTGAGTAGAAACCACGGCAGGAGCACCAGGCAGAGACGGAAGACCGAGTTTCATCGAAGGAGTGGGATCCTGATACACAAGGAAGCTGGAGCACAGGAAATGGGGATGAAAATGGCGAACGCACGACCTGCCGCAGCACTTGCTGAGCCACACTCCGCACCTACAACGCGCTGGAACTACTTTTAAATTGTCACGTGCTTGAAAAAACCCAAGACACGCAACACTAGAGTTAGGAAGCCACTGGTGACCTGCCCAGGGCCGAACTCGGGGGACGCGAGAGGCCTAGTCGGCCCCAGGGCGCAGAAGGGACTCACCCGACCAGGCCACGTCCAGGCAGGGGCCCCAGGGGGCGGTGGCCAGACCACGGCCACAGCCAAGTGTCCAGCCCAGGCGGCTGCGGCCTATGAGGCCTCAACTTGCGCCAGTCCCGGCCGCGAGGACCAGTCCCCAGCCTCCCTAAGCCGCTAAGCCTGCAGCTCCGTCGCCCGCGACGGCCAGGGCAGGCGGAAACCTCGTGGTCCCGACGTGCACCGCGCGCGCTTGCGTCACTGAGGGGCGACTCCCGTGACAGTGGTGCGAGGGGGCTGGTTGCCAGGCAACGAGGCATGGCTACTCCCTGCCCCCGAGCCGGCTCCCAGAATCTTAGATTGAGGGAGGAAAGAGCAACTGGGTTGGGTCCTACCCTCCTCTTTCACCTTGCAGACTGGGGGACTCCAACCCTATCACCCTTGTGTACAAGAGTGGGAATCTAACTCGGCCCCAGGTGGCCCACACCCCCGAAAGGGACTGAGTGCCTCCAAGGGTGTGGCTTCTCAAGGGCCCCAATCCCTACGCAGATCTGATCCTTGCTGGTGCCAGGTTTTCCTGGGACCTCCGGGAATAAAGCCGCTGCGCACATAGTTGGCGATTTCCCATGGTGAGATGTTGATGGTTGGTTTTTGTTTAGTTCTTTGAAAGTTAATCACATTGTTCTAAAGACTGCCTGGCAGTAGACTGAAACCAAAACCTAGGGGCACTTTATTTATTTTTAACAGTTGCTAAGGGGTTTCCCCCGTCACAATCATTCCATCACAATCTGGCCAAAACTGAACTAAAGCCTGTTCTGCTAGTCTGAGCACTAAAGAAGCACCCCATTGGTGGGCTTCAAACTCTGGAGTGCCTCTGTGTATTTCAAACTGATTCTGGCACCTCTCCACAGCTTTCTTTTCTTTTTTAGACTGAGTTTCACCCTTGTCGCCCAGGCTGGAGTGCAATGGCGTGATCTGGCTGCTCGCTGGCTATACATTTTCACTTGCCCACGCTGTACTTGTGGTTGAGCCTAATCCCTTCCCCACTGCAGGACCCCTTTGCAGTGGCCCCTGTATCTCCATTGACTCTCCTTTGAATAAGGTCTTCCTTACCGTCCTTAACAAGTGTCATTGAATTATCTTACTTTATTTTATTGAGACAGTCTCAGTCTGTCACCCAGACTGGAGTGCAGTGTCCTGATCTCGCTCACTGCAACCTCCACCTCCCGGGTTCAAGCGATTCTCCTGCCTCAGCCTCCCAAGTAGCTGCGACTACAGGAACATGCCACCACACTTGGCTAATTCTGTGTATTTTTAGTAGAGACGGGATTTCACTGTATTAGCCAGGATGATCTCGATCTCCTGATCTTGTGAGCCATTTGCCTCCTAAAGTGCTGGGAGGCAAATGTGAGCTACCACGCCTGGCCAAATATATATTTTTAGACAGGGTCTCTTCTCTGTCACCCAGGCTGGAGTGCAGTGGCGCAATCATGGCTTGCTGCAGCTTCGACCTCCCCAGGGGCTAACCTGATTCTTCCATCTCACCCTCCCTAGTAGCTGGGACTACAGATGCACACTCCCACGCCCAGCTATTTCTTTGTTTTTTATAAAGACAGCGTTTTGCCATGTTGCCCAGGCTGGTCTCAAACTGCTTGCCTCAAGCTATCCTCCCACCTCGGCCTCCCAAAGTGCTGGGATTACAGGTGTGAATCACCGTGCCCATCGTGAATCAACGTTAACCAGTTCGGGACTTGCTATTTGATCATTCCCACCGACAGGGTAGTATACAAGGAGGAGTGAACATGTTTAAGAAGTGCAAGCAGATATGTCTTTTTTTTTTTTTTTTTTTTTTAAAGAGATAGGGTCTTGCTGTGTTGCCCAGGATGGAGTGCAGTGGCAAGATCATAGCGGCCGGTCAGTCACCACCATGCTCCATTGCCAGGCGGAAATATTTATTTGAAAAATTGAAAACACCGATGCAATGTATTATACAAAGAAAGGTCTTAACACCATAATAAAAGTATTGTTGGAGGGAATAGAAGCCAGTGGTCACCTGCCCTGGGAAGGTAGGCACTCAGTGAAAAGTGAAATTCATTTCAAGGAACTACCCTAATGGAAAACTGGGGGAAAGGTTATAAACAGAAGAAAAACAAACCCAACCCTATCCCTGCAATCCGAAGTGTGAAAGAGTTTGTTCTAAGTTTGAGACAATTGCGTTGTCACCAAGATGTAACCGAACCCCCTCGGTTTGCCCCTATGCGTGGTAATCAGTTTCATTTAGGGCCTTCAAACCTGAGGTAGTTGAGGGTCACCTGAAAGACATGTCTGGAAAAATCTACTCTCAGAATCGAACCCAACGGGATTGGAATAGTTTCTTTTGGCTTTGGCTCCTGACAACACCATGGGATGGTGCTGATCCTGTATTTGGCCTGGACCTGGGGGAGGAAGGAATTTGACAGCAAACAGCTGGCCTGGTTTGCTGCGGCGATGGCTGGCAGGTCCGCGGTGGTGGTTTTCTATGCTACACGTGGTGCAGTTTCTGGAGGACAAGGATGGCAGAGAGAGAGCAAAGCCAGTTTGCTTGGAAAGCCAATGTTGGAACTGACGGCTTTCACTTACAGGATTTCCAGAGATCTGGAAAGGTGGTGGAAGGCAGCAAGATACTGACTGGTTATTAAAGACCACAGTCAAGCGGAGCCAGGAGACCCCTCTAGACTGAGGAGCTAAGAGAGAACCTCCCAGCTGCAAGCTGAGAACTAGCTCCTCTGCCGGGTTGAGAGACCAAAGCCAACTAATCTGACTGGAGCGACATGTATATGTGATCCCCGTGTTACCTGGTGGCATAAACCTTGCTTTCTGACTTGGTAGCTGGGATGGTTCCAAGAAAAGATGCTCTAGACGGTGGTTCTTCCAGCCACTGGGTTAAGGGACCCGTATTCCGGTGGGATTTGGGGGATACTGCTATGGACGGCCACATCAGCAAATAATCGAAACTAGTCTCATTTAAACTCCTTCCTCAGATATAAAATAACCCTGCCAAAGTGGCTCTTCTATTTCTTTCTTTCTTTCTTTTTTTTTTTGAGATTGAGTCTCACTGTCACCCAGGCTGGAGTGCAGTGGCGTGATCTCGGCTCACTGAAACCTCTGGCCCTCAGGGTTCAAGCGATTCTCCTGCCTCAGCCTCCCAAGTGGCTGGGATTATAGGTGCCCGCCACCATGCCCAGCTAATTTTTCTATTTTTAGTAGAGATGGGTTTTCACCGTTTTGGCCAGGCTAGCCGTGAACTGCTGACCTCGGGGGATCCACCTGCTTCAGCCTCCTAAAGTGCTGGGATTATAGGCATGAGCCATCTCGTCCGGCCTCTTTCTCTTATGATGTAAACAAACATCTTTTCTCTAGAGGTCTCAGGGCACTGGATTACAAACTTAAGTAATAGATGCAGCTGTTTTTCAACTTCTTGTCGATCCCAAGCCATTATTTTGTTGCTGTCCCATCTTGTTGTGACCCATTTACACTTACCCAAGACTTTCACTAGTGATGCTCAGTGACTCATTTAAAGGCTGGCAGGTTCATTGTTAGCTTTAAGATGTGATTCCCGTTTTAATCCAAGGTGTGTCATCAAATACTTCAGCTTCATTTTTAGAAGAGTCACAATAGGACAATTTGATTTTGTCTAGAGAATGGGGTAGCTGTTCTGAGCTATTACAAAAGTAATTATGTGACATCTGACAGGTACTTCTCATGTGACACTGAATTAGCTTCTGATTCAGTGCACTTCCGTTTAAGTGCCTTCTTAACCATCATGACTCAGGCTAAGTTGATAAGGTTTTAAACATTTCTGTGGCTTCTTTTTAGAAAGACTATTATTCAGAGAATTTTTTCTTTTTAAAGAGATGGAGTCTTGCCCTGTCACTTAAGCTGGAGTGCAGTGGTGCAATCATGGCTCACTGCAGCCTCAAACTTCTGGGTGGGGCTCAGGCAGGGAATCTTTTTTTTTTTTTTTTTTTTTGAGACAGAAGCACAATCAGGGCTCACTGCAGCCTAGACTTCCCAAACTCAAGCAATTCTCTTGCTTTGGCTTCCCAACTAGCTGAGACTACAGGCATACACCATCATGCCCAGCTAATTTTTTTTTTGTTTTAATCTTAGTAGAGACGAGGTCTTGCTATGATGCCCAGGCTGGTCTCAAACTCCTGAGCTCAAGCAATCCTCCCACCTTGGCCTCCAAAGTGCTGGGATTACAGGCATGAGCCACTGCGCCTTGCTGGGCAGAGAATCTTAATTTGATCCAATATATTAGAATGTTTGCCCCACTGGTAATTTGGAACATATGAGTTGGAATGGCTGAGATCTAGAAGTGAGGATAAGCCACTTTTGGGAATACTGACCCATATCGAGAATACACTGATTGGGTTAGTTGCCGCAACTGGGACAGGGATGCTTACGCACCATTCCTTCTGAGCCTTGAAACAAAAAAATACTAGGCAGAAGCAGCACTGAACATAATACTGCCCAATCTCTGCTGCCGACACTTCCTCAGCCTAGTATGGAGGTCACACGTCTGAGTATGGTCAGCGGAGGTCCTGGGAGAGTATTTTTTGAATGTCCCACTTAGAAAATGCACAGAGAGGGAGTTGGGGAAGGGGGCGGGTTAGGGAGAGGGGGGTTGGTTCACAGTGATCAGATAGAAGTCTCACGACCCGTCATGTAGCAAAACCTAGCAGTGTTCCGTTGGGGCAGATCCTGGGAAGTGCCTGATGGCTTCCACCAATGAGCTGCTAGAGATAAGGAAGGAAGACGCTGTGTTTTCCAGGATCAGAAGGTCACTTAAATGCTGGGGTCCATCCAGAAGAGGAAAAGTGCCATTGGGCTGTCTACCCCTAGCAAGCTGTTCATGTGCCCTCTGTCCTCATCCTGTCCACAGGGCAGCGAGAGCCTGGGGCATGTGGCTGATGGGAGTTAGAGCCCCTGGTTCCCTCCTTTCTCATTTTCTCGGACCCCAGAGCTCTGAACGATCTCCTTGCTGTGGGATCCGAGTCAGTAACGGTCCAGCACCTTGGCCTCGCTTCTGATTCTTGAAGGCTGATGTAGCCGGGCAGAAAGATGAGCCTTGCCGTCGTCACACCTAAAGTCCTGATTGCTCCAAGCATGTCTCCGTAGGCTGCTGCTGTCTAAGGAGGTTAGTAATAAACACTCAGGGTAGCAAACCAAGTATAGGGTTCTTTCCTGATGGGAGCAATTGCACCTGATCTTCCGGGTTTGTCAATTGCGTAGAAGGTGAAATGATCTTCCGAATCAAGAGGATGCCAAGGCAGGCATCTGCAGAAAGGAGTTGGGGATCGCTCCCATGCTCCGTCTCTGGGCCAAGGGAGATGGCCCACATGATACAGACCATTCACAGTTCATTCCGGGGGAAGTAGTGTTGCTGATCTCACCAGCTCTGTTCAAGCATGTGATAAAGGTTTTTGAGCCTGGTCTCGGGAACTCCTAAGAAATGTGTCCTGTGAAGACCTGGGCTGTAGCACACCCTCTTGTCCCTCTTTCTGTTGTCCTCTCCCTTGTGAAGGTGGACAGAGGCTTTCTGCCGGGGTTCAGCTTTAGGAGGGAAAGGCACTCGCTCTGCTTCTGCCTTTTGAAGAAAGCTGTCACTCAGCAGCTCCGCCTGACCCTGAAGCGTGGCCTAGGTGGGCCAGCACCTGTTCAGCGTGGAGGCGGAGGTGGAGCACCAAGGAGAGGCCTGGGCAGCACCATCGCCGGAGCTGCCACGGTTGGGGGCCCCGGAGACTCAGCCCCAGGGGTGTGCCCTTTGGGAGAGTTGGCTATGTGAGTGAAACTTAAAAAGAAAAAAAACCACCAAAATACCCAACCAGCCACTGTAAGAAGCAGTGGAAATCCATGGCACTGCTCAAAGAGGGGGAGAATGGCCTTGGCATTCACAGCCAGGACACTCCTGCTGTCCCTCTGACTGTGCAGATTTCAGGGTAGTGTCCTGGTTTGGAATCCGTCAGCCCTCTGATGCTCACAAGTTTGTGTAAATGATGAAACTGAAAAGACTGAGAAGAAAACAGAAAAAAAGAAGCATAAGCTCTTCCCTCTCCAAGCTGTCAACAAACAGCAAGCAGCCCTCTCTTAAGGATACCCATCGTGTGGGGGTCAAGCAGTCGGCAGGACTGGATGGAGGTCCTCTCTGTTGAGTGGCCCTGCCCCCCACCACCCCTCTTTGGACCTTGGCTTGCTCATGGGCAGCACTGGCCAGCCTGGATGCTAATTAGGGAGGTGGGGAAAGAACAGCGATGACCATGGGCCCAAACAGAAAGAGTGTCGCTATGGAGGGAGTCTTTGGAAGAGTCATGCAGGTCCACGGCACTGGGTAATGGCAGTGGTGTGGCTGCCCCTGGGACTTCAAGGATTTGGCCTGTGGCTGGGGAAATAACACACACAGAGATGGGTAACAAGGATTTACACTGACATATTGCATGTTGGTTTGGCTCTATTCTTTTTCGGTTACCGCTTCTTGCAATGTCGGTGGAGATGCTTCTGTTCCTAAAAGATAATGATAATTTACATTGCAAAGCACTTCCTGCATGCGTGCATTCATTTAACTAACAAAGCCTGCCACCGTGTGGGTCTCGAAAATACATTATAACCATAACCATGGTGTAATCACCTAGTCCCCAAGTTTGGTGTCTAGGAATGACTAGGATCTGTCTATTGTTGGTGGCCAGAGTCAGTCAAGTCCAATAAGAGTCAACAATCTTGGCTGTGATCAAGCTGACTGCTTTCGACATGCAGACAGCAACATATAGACTCGAGGTGATGGATGGCAAGTCTCTGGGCTGGCAGGCTAACCGTGACTCCATGCCACTCTATTTCTCAGCAACTGATTCCTTCTGTCTTTTGGCAATTGACGCCCTTCACTGGCTCTAGATAGTCAGAACCTTGTGATTCACTTGTCTCTGTCTGTCAGATCTCCACTGACCACTATTCATTCATTTTTCAACTCTCTGCTGGCCAGAAACTAAATTCCCAGGGAGTCGACAGACTAGCTGGTCCTGGGAGGGAATGACAGTGAGTGAGTTATAATAAATGTTTAGGTCTTAAAAGGTGACAACAAAAGCTTTCAATTCACCACAAGTTCACCCAGAGTTAGGCTTAAAGGTTATTTACAACTGAAGAGAAAACAGATTCCATGAAGAGAGAAGAGAAGGAAGAAGCCACCAATCTGGTGGGTTCCTTGTTCTGTTCCATTCTAAGGGAAGGCCCTGGCCACACAGCTTCCCCTCCCCGCTTAGAGTCAGCTCACCTTCTTCCCAGCCCTCAGCAACACCGGCAAGCTCATAGTGCTTTTTCCGAAGCTCTCCCAGTTTTTGACGCTCCTTCTGTAATTCATTTTCTAGCTCTAGCACCCTAACCTGTAAGGGAAAGTAAGTGGGGTTTTCTTTTGATCAGCTCTCTAATTTTTATTTATTTATATTTTTTATCAAGATGAGGTCTTGCTCTGCTGCCCAGACTGGTAGTGAACTCCTGGCCTCAGGCAATCCTCCTGTCTTGGCCTCCTAAAGTGCTGAGATGACAGGCATGAAACACCAAGCCTACATCTATCTGATTTTGATCATCCCCTTTCTGCTGCATTGTGGCTTTCCTCTTCTTTTTTTTTTGAGATGGAGTTTCTCTCTTGTTACCCAGGCTGGAGTGCAATGGCGCCATCTCGGCTCACCGCAACCTCCGCCTCCTGCGTTCAGGCAATTCTCCTGCCTCAGCCTCCCGAGTAGCTGGGATTACAGGCATGCGCCACCATGCCCTGCTAATTTTTTGTATTTTTAGTAGAGATGGGGTTTCACCATGGTGACCAGGATGGTCCTGATCTCTTGACCTTGTGATCCACCCGCCTCGGCCTCCCAAAGTGCTGGGATTACAGGCGTGAGCCACCGCGCCCGGCCGGCTTTCCTCTTCTTCCATATTATTCACCCTGTCTCCATACTTTATCCAGTCCTCAATTTCAATTCTCTTCTCTGCTCTCGTTTTTCCATTCTCCCATTCATTTATCTATCCCAGTAGCTCTTACGTTTTACTCACTGGGATCCTCTAATGGAACTGAATAATGCTTTACAAGTGCCTAAATGGGAAGTGGGCTTATCTTCTGTTCCTCTGATAAATCAGTATCTAAAAGCAACTCTAATGGCTAGCCTCACTGTATGGTGAGTTCCAATCCAGCTGTAACCCTTCCTCAATCCCAGTTCCCTGGAAACCCAGGTGGGAACCAAATATGACGGTTCTGATATACCTTTCAGGTATTTGTGCAACTGAGGCTTATTACTGCTACAAGAAAAAGCATGGACAATCTTACCAAAGGAAAGGGCGATCTCAGCTAGCTCTATTTCTCATGAATGTAATTTATTTTATTTCTTAATTCAAGGAATATTTGTTGGCTGGTTGCGGTGGCTCATGCCTGTAACCCCAGCACTTTGGGAGGCCAAGGCAGGTGGATCAGTTGAGGTCAGGAGTTTGAGACTAACCTGACCAACATGGTGAAACCCGGTCTCTACTAAAAATATACAAAATTAGCCAGGTGTGGTGGCACATGTCTGTAACCCCAGCTACTTGGGAAGCTGAGGCAGGAGAATTACTTGAACTCAAGAGGCAGAGGTGGCAGTGAGTCAAGATTGTGCCATTGCACTCCAGACTGGACAACAAGAAAGAAACTCCATCTCAAAAAAACAAAACAAAACAACAACAACAAAAACAAAAGAGTATTTGCTGAGCACTGATCATGTATACCAGGCTGTTATAGGTGCTGGAGACACAGTGGTAAACAGACAGACAATGTCTCTGCTTACCTTGTAGAGGGAAGGGACAAACAATTGAAGAAAAGATCAGATTATAAAGAAATGATACAGGGAGATGTGAAAAATACTATGAAAAGTCAGTCAAGTCTATTCTCAGAAAGTCATTTTTCAGCTTATGTGGCCTTAAGAGCTCAGCTATCTGGAACCCTGGAGAATATTCCAGGCAGAAGAAACAGCCAGAGCAAAGGCTCTAAGGCAAGACAAATCCGGAGGTGTTGGGAGAAGGAAGGAAGTTGTACATGAGATACACGAGAGAGGGGTAGGGTTGTGAGAGGAGGTTGAGAACCAGGCAAGTGTCATTTTTCACCCAGGCTCGTGGCCCAACGAGGAGCTTGGATGTTGTGCATGCAAAGGAAAGCCATTGGGAGGATTTAAGCAGAGAGGGGTCATCCTGAGATTTACATTTCTAAAATAAATCACATAGAGAATGAATGAATTGTAGAGAGGGTCAAGAGTAGAAGCTACTAGACCCAGTGAAGTGGTTCTTTTTTGTTTTGAAACTTTTTATTATGGAAAAAGTAAAATGTCTGCAGAGGTATGGAGACTAGTAGAGTGACCTCACTGTACTCTTCACCCAGCTCCACCAACTAACTAACCATATGGCCAGACTTGCCCCTGCAACACTCTTTGCTATTCTCCCCACCACCCAACCCTGCCATGGGATTATTACTATCGTTATTTTTAGAGACAGGGTCTCACTCTGTCACACAGGCTGGAGTGCCAGAGCATGGTCACAGCTCCCTGAAGCCTCAAACCCCTGGGCTCAAGTGATCCTCCTGCTTCAGCCACCAGAGTAGCTGGGACTACAGGCATGTGCCACCATGCTCGGCTAACTTTTAATTTCTGTGTAGAAATGGGGTTTATCTATTGTAGCCCCAGCTTGTCTTGAACTCCTGGTTAAGCAATCCTCCCACCTTGGCCTTCTGAAGTACTGGCTTATAAGCATGAGCCACTGCACCCAGCCTACCACAGGATTATTTTAAAATGACTACGTACATAACATTATAGGTAAGTTGCTTTTGCAGTAGTTCAGGAGTCAGACAACGGTGGGTAGGAAGATGGAAAGAAGTGAAAAGATTAAAGTTTTGTTTTGTGATTTAGAGTTGACAGGACTTGCAGATGGATTGGATGTAGTGGGTGAGGGAAAGAGAGGAATCAAGGATGACTGTCTGTGGCTCAGCACCCAGTGGGTGGTGGGGGTGTTACTGAGATGGAACAAACAAGGGGAGGGGCAGAGTGCAGTGTGAGGGACACCAAGAGGCCTATTTTGGACATTAGTTATGCTTGAGTTGCTTCTAGGGCATTAGTGGGGAGCTATCAAGAAAGCTGCTGGATAAGTATGGGGCTCCAGGAGAAGATCTAGGTTGGGGAGAAGAATTTGGAATTTATCCACATATGGGTGTATTTAAAGTCAAGAAGGGATGGGTGCAGTGGCTCATGCCTGTAATCTCAGCATTCTGGGAGGCCGAGGCAGGCATTATCACTTGAGGTCAGGAGTTCAAGACCATCCTGGCCAACATAGTGAAACTCGCCTCTACTAAAAATATAAAACTTAGCCAGGCGTGGTTGTGGGTGCCTATAATTCCAGCTACTTGGGAGGTTGAGGTGGAGAATTGCTTGAACCCAGGAGGCAGAGTGGGTTCTGCGGTGAGCTGAGATTGTACTCTACCCTGGGCAAAACAGCAAGACTCTGTCTCAAAAATAATAATAATAAAAATATAGTCAAGAGGGACTGAGTGAGACCACTAAGCAGAAGTCCCTTCGGTGTTCAGACAGAAATTTGGCTTTTCTGGTGATCTGTGTCTTTTCCTAAAGATGCTGAGCCAGGTGTAGTGGTTCATGCCCATAATTCCAGTACTTTGGGAGGCTCAGGTGAGAGAATTGCTTGAGCCCAGAAGTTTGAGACCAGCCTAGGCAACATAGTGAGAACCCCATTTCTACAAAAATTAAACAAGCTGGGTGCAGTGGCTCACGCCTGTAATTCCAGCACTTTGGGAGGCCGAGGTGGGCGGATCACCTAAGGTCAGGAATTCAAGACCAGCATGACCAATGTGGTGAAACCCCGTCTCTACTAAAAATACAAAAATTAGCTGGCATGATGGTGCACACCTGTAATCCCAGCTACTTGGGAGGCCGAGGCAGGAGAAGCACTTGAACCTGGAAGGCAGAGGTAGCAGTGAGCTGAGATCATGCCACTGTACTCCAGTGTGGGTGACAGAGCAAGACTCCATCTCAAACAAAACAAAACAAAACAAAATAAAACAAACAACAACAACAAAAACACAGAAAAAAAAGCAAAATTAGCTGGGCATGGTGGTGTGCACCTGTAGTCCCAGTTACTCAGGAGGCTGAGGCAGGAGGATCCACCTGAGTCCAGGAGTTTGAGGCTGCAGTGAGCTGTGATCACACAACTGCACTCCAGCCTGGGCCATAGTGCAAGGCCCTGACTCAAAGAGAGAGAGAGAAAAAAGTGCCGAGTGACACATCTTGGAGGGGTTTAACAATTCCAATTTGAAATTCACCCCAAAACTGATGAGCAATAATTCTAGAAAAACAATGTCAAATTTTTTTTTTAAGGACCTTGCTGTTACCTATATTGCATGGCATGACTTTATAGAACAACAGAGAGAAATAATGGCAGGTCTTTGATGAGTTAACAGGATTTTCTTTTTTAAAACTGAAGGTCATACACAAATAATTCATACCAGAAGTCTAAAACCATGTTTACAGTAAGACTGTTAGATCTGTGGATACTAAGAGTTCCCTGGTAACATTTAGAGGAGCATGAGTCCAAGGCTAGTGGGAAAGAGTTAAGATTCTGATCTGGGCTAGGCACGGTGGCTCACGTCTGTAATCCCAGCACTTTGGGAGGAAGACTGAGGCAGGAGGACTGTGTGAGGCCATGAGTTCGAGACCAGCCTGGGCAACATAGTGAGACCCCTGTCTTTATTTTTTAAAAAAGGGAGAGGCGTGTTGGCTCATGCCTGTAATCCCAGCACTTTGGGACGCTGAGGTGGGCAGACCACGAGGTCAGGAGTTTGAGACCAGCCTGGCCAAATGGCAAAACGCTGTCTCTACTAAAAATACAAAAATTATCCGGGCATGGTAACGCATGCCTGTAGTCCCAGCTACTTGGGAGGCTGAGGCAGGAGAACTGCTTGAACCTAGGAGGCAGAGAGAGCAGTGAGCTGAGATCATGCCATTGTACTCTAGCCTGGGCAACAGGACGAGACGCTGTCTAAAAAAAAACCAAGGATTCTGATCTGCACTAATCACCCTCCCCGCCTCTGTCTCTTCCAGCTTGATTTACATTGTGTCTTGGATTAGTAGGTGCATCATTTCCACCCAGGTATCTCTCCCTCTGGCTTTTCTCCATAAGAATAATATTTAGAGTCCATGTCTAGGCAATAGAGGCTATCTAGACTTAGAGACGGAGTTCTCACCTGGGAATCCATCTCTTGGCGTTTGATCTGTGTCAGCGTCATGCTTGAGAAGTCCATGTTGTCTGCAAGGATGGAAACAAGACAGTCTTATCAAATTCTACCCCGGCTGACTGGCACCTGAGAGGTGGCCAATGGCAATGCCCTGTGGAAACACCTGGTTTGCCATCTGTCAACACTGCATGAAGGTAACTAAGGGGGCTGGGTGTGGTGGCTCACTCCTGTAATCCTCGCATTTTGGGAGGCTGAGGTGGGCAGATCATGAGGTCAGGAGTTTGAGACCAGCCTGGCCAACATGGTGAAACCCCATCTCTACTAAAAATACAAAAATTAGCTGGGCGCGGTGGTGAGCACCTGTAATCCCAGCTACCTAGGAGGCTGAAGCAGGAGAACCATGTGAACCTGGGAGGTGGAGGCTGCAGTGAGCCGAGATCACACCACTGCACTCCAGCCTGGGTGACAGAGTGAGACCCTGTCTCAAAAACAGAAATAAAGAAAAAATAAAATAAAAAGAAAAATATGAAAGAATGTAGACACAGTACTGTGGGGTTTGGGATCACAGGACAAGACGCAGAGAAGAGCTCAACAGAGTGGATAGGAAAAGCGTCTCTTCAGAAAGGCTACCTGTCTCCTCGATCTGTGATTTGCCGGAGATGGTTGAGGCCACAACGCTGGCAGTGGCCTGGTTCACTCCCCGAGAGGCCTGCTGCAGCTGGGCTAGGTTGGGGCTGTCCTTATCAGCTTTCACCTACCAGGACAAAGCAGATTTAGGTTCACACAATACCTAGAACAACAAGGACTGAATTAAATAATTCCTCTGATGGTTCTTAACACACACGTGTGGGCCAAATGGTAGTCACCAATCAATTTCTCAAAATCCGCTGCCTACAGAGTCAGCTCCTGACATATCTATCACATACAAAATTATTCCTGGCCTCTGCTTGGTGGCTCCCAAACTCTAAGCATTATCACTTATTTGGACAGTGTACTCAGTTATGGAAACCAATTTGGGATGACAAGAAATAAGGACAAATAAAGAAAACTCTGGGAGACTGTGAAACTCTTCAAAGGATTCTGGGTACCAGCCTTACGTGAAAATTAGTTGGGGGCATTGATGATATCGATTCAAAAAAAATTTTTTGTTTTTTAGAAAGCATTTCACTCTTGTCACCCAGGCTGGAGTGCAATGGCGTGATCTTGGCTCACTGCAACCTCTGCCTCCCAGGTCCAGGCGATTCTCCTGTCTCAGCCTCCCCGGTAGCTGGGATCACAGGTGTCCACCACCACACCTGGCTAATTTTTTGTATTTTTAGTAGAGATGAGGTTTCAACAGGTTGGCCAGGCTGGTCTTGAACTCCTGACCTCAGGTGATCTACCCGCCTTGGCCTCCCAAAGTGCTGGGATTACAGGCATGAGCCACCACGCCTGGCCTGATTGAAATTTGAAGACTAATAAGAAGGGGTTGTGGAATCTCAGAGCCAATCCAGGTAACCTGTTTATGAGGCCAGCCTATTCTGTATTCAAATGTTTCTTGAATTCCAGGAGTGCTAATCAGAAGTTGGCATTGCTGGGACTCTTTAAGGCCACTTGTGACAGATGTGAGGAAAGGCATGAGGGACATGTGTGGTGCACTGGGTACAGGCATTCCTTGCTGTCACACGAAAGGCTTTTAGAAGAGGATGGTATGGAACCCTTAAGAGGCTGAATTTTTATTTGGGATTGAATCCACCTGAGTCCTGGATTAATCATCTGTTCTCAGGGCCAGTTCCATCCTATCATCCAAGAACTGCCTAACCTAGCCAAGTACTCTCTAATCCTTAGTACTCTTGAACCTAGCCAAGTACCATCTAACCTAGCCAAGTACTCTCTAACCCCTTAGTACTCTCTAACCTAGCCAAGTACTGACCTAGCCAAGTACTCTCTAACCTCTTAGTACTCTCTAACCTAGCCAAGTACTGACCTAGCCAAGTACCCTCTAACTCAGCCAAGTACTGCCTAACCCAGCTAAGTACTCTTTAGCCTAGCCTAGTACTCTCTAACCATGGCGTCCAGGGTCCTACGAGGTCCAGCACAGGTCCTACCTTGGATGCAGCCACAAGCTGGGCTGTGCTAGCGGCAATTTCATGTGAACACACCATTAGCTCCTCAAATTTCCCTTTGCCTTGTACCACCAGATCAGCTGCATCCCTGATAGAAAAGGACAAGAGGGATAAGGTTACAGGCAGATGGGCTGTAACTTCCCCATGACCCCACCTCCAGACCACCCCATTGCCCTTGGCTAAATAGGGAGGGGAAGCTGCCTGCCCTGTGTCCCCCTGGGAGAGCCATGCTCCCATGTAAACTCAGTCCTATTTGACTTTCTGATCAACGGTTCATTTCTAAGGTACTTTTTTTTTTCCTTTTTAAGCTATTGTTTGGAGTGGATCAATGGAAGACGGGTTGGGGAAGGAGCCTTGGCACCAATGGGCACTTACACCATGACAGTGGCTCCCCAGCCCACAGCCTTGGAGGCTGAGATGAGTCCTTCTGTCCACCGAGAGTTCTTGGCATAAAACTCTTTAGGGGATGCTGTACCCTAGGGAAGTAAAAATAGTAATAGCCACCTTTTATTGAGTACGTGCTATATGGCAGGTGCTTATATATATCTATTATCCCAAATCAACCTCATAGTAACTGGGAGACGTAAGCATTCGTATTCCCATTTTACAATAAAGAAAAAGATTCAGAGACAAAAATGGCTTTTCCGGCTGGGTACAGTGGCACATGCCTATAATCCTAGCACTCTGGGAGCCTGAGGCAGGCAGATCACTTGAGGCCGGGAGTTTAAGACCATCCTGGCCAACATGGTGAAACCCCGTCTCTACTAAAAGCACGGAAATCAGCTGGGTGCGGTGGTGCGCACCTGTAATCCCAGCTACTCAGGAGGCTGAGGCAGGAGAATCGCTGAACCCAGGAGCCACAGGTTGCAGTGAGCCAATATCACGCCACTGCACTCCAGTCTGGACGACAGGGCAAGACTCCATCTCAAAAAAATATAAAAATTAGCTGGGTTTGGTGGTGCGCACCTGTAGTCCCAGCTACTCGGAGGCTGAGGCAGGAGAATCGCTTGAACCTGGGAGGCAGAGGTTGCAGTGAGCCGAGCACTGTACTTTAGCCTGGGCAAGAGAGCGAGACTCCATCTCAAAAAAAAAAAAAAAAAAAAAAAAAAACGCAACCAACCAAACAAAAAAACACCAAAACCCCAAACAACAAAACAACAAACAAATAAACAAAAAGGCTTTTCCCAAGCTCATGCAGGAAATAAACGGAAGTAAATCTCGGGCTTTTCTGCCTCCAAAACCTGGAGCATTTCTACCACCCCACAACGCTTCCGTATTGTACATGCAATAGATATTCGCAGATGAATGAGCTTTGCTCTGATAAGAGTCTAGCCACTCTCTGCGATATGCTGGAAAAAGGAGACCACACAGTTAATACATTTAATAAAATGTTTCTACTTGGATTTGAAAAATGCTTTTATGCTTTGGAAGTGTCTGATAGTCTGAGAATCTGCAGATAATCCTCGTTCAGTCCATCTTTCGATTTTAGAAACAGAAAACATTAGCTCTCAGGAAGATAGCAGGCATCAGCAAAGCAGGCCTGGCAGCTTGCTTCACGGCCCTGTTCTCTGGCTCGTGAACCCCTCCCTGGACCTGTGCCTCCCAAGCTGCCAGCATAGGGGGAAATGGGAAAGAAAACAAGACGGTGGTAAGGCCAGCAAAGGCATGATGTGTTGAGAAGAGGCTGACAGCAGAGTCTGCCTGTAAGGGTGAACTGACTCTGCTGTCGGAAACAGACAAGGCAGAGCTCCCTGGGAAAAGTCAGTCTGAAGTTGGCTCTCAGGATCTGCTTAGTTTGCAAAAGTCCTCCTGTCCCCCTGAGTGTTCCCAGGTTTGCAATGTAAGTGGGGCTCCCACAGCAAGTTCCGACAGTGTCTGCCTGTGCAAAGGGAGCTGGGGTTGGGAGACGTGCCTGGCCGCCCTCTGGGGTGGTCCTAAAGCTCTGACTTCTCCCCAGGGAGCCTGCCGATGTCTACAGGAGGGGCAGCTGTGTGCTCAGGTGGACGCACAGAACAAGACAGAGCACCACTAGAGTCCAGTGAAGTGGGAATCTGTCCCAATGCCTGCTCTTCCGGCCCAGGGCCCCCGCCCATGCTCACCCTGCCGCTCTCCACGATCTCCCTTTGGAGGTCCTTAGAGGCCACGATCAGGACCTGAATAGCTTGCATGAGGCCTGTACAGCTCCCTAGAATCCTGTCAAACAAACAAAGTCAGGGATACACAGAGACCACGATTCAAGGTGAATGAACATGACTGTTCTCTTTTCGACCCGTAGCCAAAGGTGAGCTTGGAATGGGAGAGGGAGGTTAGGAAGGTGCTGAGATTGCTGGAACATTCTGCGGGGAGGCCCGGAAGGAGAGGTCGGGGAGTGAGAGTTCTGACTGTGGGTCTCCGTCATAAGGAATCGTGTTTTTCCAAGGCTTCTTTTCTTTTCTTTTTTTTTTTTTTGAGACAGAGTCTTGCTCTGTCACTGAGGCTGTAGTGCAGTGGTGCAATCTTGGCTCACTGTAACCTCACTCTCCTGAGTTCAAGTGATTCTCCTGCCTCAGCCTCCTGAGTAGCTGCGATTACAGGCATGTAGCACCATGCTGGGCTCGTTTTTATATTTTAGTAAAGACAGGGTTTCACCCCATTGGCCAGGCTGGTCTCAAACTCTTGACCTCAGGTGATCCTCCCTCCTCAGCCTCCCAATTGCTGTTATTATAGTTGTGAGCCACCGCACCGGCCGGGGTTTCTTTTCTTCTATAGCGAAACAGCAATATGCTGTCAGCATTAATACACCATTGATGATTACATCAACTCAGCACTTCCCAGTGGCTGCTCCTCTAATTCCCTAATAAGTATGCAAAGTGCAGCCCAGTGCCAGGAAGACAGAATCCTGCTCCCCTGGGTCCCACCATGCCGTGCAGACTGACCTTTCGTTCACCTCCAATTTGACTCCTGTGTCTCCTGCTCGGGATTTGCTGAGCATCTCCTGTTAAAAAGAAGCATGGTTTCTACACGTACCTTGAATATTGAGAATCCACTGATGTCTTACTATACTTTCAGTCCGACATCCTGTGGTAGCTGAGAAACCTGAATCTGGAAGTCCCCAAGTCCCTGCCCACATCCTTGAGAGTCAGCAAAAAAATCCAGACTCCAATCTATTCAGGGGGAGTACAGCTGCAGTAGGCTGGCTCTATGATCTGTGTCTTTTTTTTTTTTAATTTGAGACAGAATCTTGTTCTGTTGCCCAGGCTGGAGTGCAGTGGTGTGATCTTGGCTCACTGCAACCTCTGCCTCCCAGGTTCAAGTGATTCTCCTGCCTCATTTTCTCAAGTAGCTGGGATTACAGGTGCCTGCCACCATGCCCAGCTAATTTTTATATTTTTAGTAGAGAGGGTTTCGCCATGTTGGCCAGGATGGTCTCAAACTCCTGACCCCAAGTGATCTGCCCACATTGGCCTCCCAAACTGTTGAGATTACAGATGTGAGCCATCACGCCTGGCCTTTTTAAAACACACACACACACACACACACACACACACACACACACACACACACACACACGGTCTCACTGCAGCCTCAAATATTTGGTGCTCAAGTGATTGTTCTGCCTCAGCCTCTTGAGTAGGGGAACTACAGCAGTGTTCTGCTGAACCTGGCTAATTAAAACAACATTTTTTTTTTGTTTTGAGACGGAGTCCTGCTCTGTAGCCCAGGCTGGAGTACAGTGGTGCAATCTCGGCTCACTGCAACCTCTGCCTCCTGGGTTCAAGCGATTCTCCTGCCTCAGCCTCCAGAGTAGCTGAGACTACAGGCATGCACCACTACGCCCGGCTAATTATTATATTTTTAGTAGAGACGGGGTTTACCATATTGAGTCATGCTGATCTCGAACTCCCGGTCTCAGGTGATCCACCTACCTTGGCCTCCCAAAGTGCTGGGCTTACAGGCGTGAGCCACTGCACCCAGCCTCTTTATTTTTTGTAGACATAGGGTCTCACTATGTTGGCTAGGCTAGTCTTGAACTTGTGGCCTCAAGCAATCCTTCTGCCTTAGCCTTAAAATTTTTTTATAGAGACAGAGTCTCGCTATGTTGCCCAGGCTGGCCTTGAACTCCTGGCCTCAAGCAACCCTTCTGCCTTGGCCTCCCTAAGTGCTGGGATTACAGGTGTGAGCCATGGCACCCAGGTGATCTGTGAGTGTCTCTACACTCTGGCACTCAGACTGATACATGCTGAACTCTGAGAACCACAGCACCAAACCAACAGGTGCAGCTGCTACCAGGTGCTAGAGGCAGGGGTGCACATCACAGCAGGTGGCTTGAGTCCTCTACCAAAGGGTCAATGTAGAACCTTCCCTACAGTGTCCTCTCCGTTTTTCTGGGGAATCATTACCATTGATTAGGGGTGCCATTAATTTCATAAGTGCTTGGTCTGGAGATAAATGTGCATTATCTCATTTCACTTTTTTCTGTTTTTGTTTTTGGTTTTTTTTTTGCGATAGAATCTGGCTCTGTCACCCAGGCTGCAGTGCAGTGGCACCATCTTGGCTCACTGTAACCTTCTCCTCCCGGGTTCAAGTGAGTCTCCTGCTTCATCTTCCCAAGTAGCTGAGATTACAGGTGTGCGCCACCATGCCTGGCTAATTTTTTTATTTTTAGTAGAGACGGGATATCACCATGTTGGCCAGGCTGGTCTCAAACTCCTGACCTTGTGTTCCACTAGCCTTGGCCTCCCAAAGTGCTGGGATTACAGGTGTGAGCCACGTCGCCCAGCCCCACTTTCTTCTTATGACTGCCACCCTATAGAAATGGGATCTGAATCTTAGTAGGTGACTGTAATTAACAGAGGTTATACAACTAAGTGGTCAGTCTGCAACTTGAACCCAGGATGTTGTAAATTTTTTTTTTTTCCTGAAGAGGAGTCTTGCTCTGTCACTCTGGCTGGAGAGGAGTTGTGCGATCTTCATTCACTGCAACCTCTGCCTCCCAGGTTCAAGCAATTCTCCTGCCTCAGCCTCCCAAGTAGCTGGGATTACAGGCATGCGCCACTATGCCCAGCTAATTTTTGTATTTTTAGTAGAGACTGGGTTTCACCATGTTGGTCAGGCTGGTCTTGAACTCCTGACCTTGCGATCTGCCCGGCTCAGCCTCCCAAAGTGCTGGGATTATAGGCATGAGGCACTGTGCCCAGCCAGAACCCAGGATGTTCTGACACCAAAGTGTCTGATTCTTGAGGAATCGGATCACCTTCCCTCATGAGGACCTTCTCATTTTCTATCACTCAGAAAAACTAGTGAGTTCAGATTTTGGTCTCTCTCTTTCTTTTTTTCTTTTTCTTTTTTTTTTTTTTTACAATTTAAAAACATTTTTAGAGACAGGGTCTCAGTCTTTCACGCAGGCTAGAGTGCAGTGGTGCAATCATGGCTCGCTGTAGCCCTCCAACTCCCGGGCTCAAGTGATTCTCCTGCAGCCTCTGGAGTAGCTGGGACTATAGGCATGCACCACCACATCCAGCTAATTCTTTTACTTTTTGTAGAGATGGGGTCTTGCTATGATGTCCAGGCTGGTCTCAGACTCCTGGACTCAAGTGATCTTCCCAACGTGCTGGGATTCCAGGCACGAGCCACTGTGCCTGGCAAATTCTGGTTTCTGTCTTCGGGGGTCACCATGACCATAGTGAATGACTGTGGAATGTCTAATGAGCAGTGCTGCAGACAGGCAGCTGCAAACCTCCTACCTCTATTCTGGCTGTGGCGGTTTCAATAGCAGCTGAAGTGGCCGCCATCTCTTTGTCCACCAGGTCCCCCAGCTCCTCCTGCTTGATGTCCAAGCCCCTGGGCAGGAGTTCCTGTGAACACATCACAAAGGCAAAACTGACCCCGAGGCCTCATCTCTCTTCTCCTTTGCCATCTGTAGCCCTTACAAGTTGGCAGAGGGAGGAGCCCACATAGTGAACACCTTCTGTAAGCATCGGAGGTTGCGGGGGGTTCTTTCACAGACCCCATCTGGTCCTCTCTGTGACACGAACTCTGGAACCTCATGCTCCTCCTCACTCAAGACCCACCTCCTTCCAGAATGCCATCGCTGCCTCTTCCTGCAAGGCCATTCCGCCACCACTAAGACTCCAGTCCCTTCGTTGTGCAGTGTCAATTGTATTAGCTACACAGGAGGTATCTTTACAATTTTTTCTTTTTCTTTTTGAGGCAGAGCCTCACTCTGTTGCCCAGGCTGGAGTGCAACGGCACAAGGTCTTAGCTCACTGCAACCTCCACCTCCCGAGTTCAAGCGATTCTCCTGCCTCAGCCTCCTGAGTAGCTGTGATTGTAGACATGCACCACCACGGCTAATTTTTATATTTTTAGTAGAGACAGGCTTCACCATGTTGCCCAGGCTGGTCTCGAACTCCTGACCTCAGGGAATCCTCCTGCCTCAGCCTCCCTAAGTGCTGGAACTGCAGGTGTGAGCCACCACGCATGGCCCTAATTTTTTATTTTTCTGAGACAGGGTCTTGCTCTTCAGAGATGGAGTGCAGTGGCATGATCATAGCTCATTGCAGCCTCGACCTCCTGTACCCAAGCAATCCTCCCACCTCTGCCTACAGAGTAGCAGGGAGTACAGGAGTGCAGTATCACGTCTGGCCAATTGCTTTTTACAATAGAGGTAGGGTCTCACTATGTTGCCGAGGCTGGTCTCGAATTCCTGGGCTCAAGTGATCCTCCCAGCATGGTCTCCCATTGTGCTGGGGTTGAGTTACTGCACTCGGCCTAAACTTTTTCAAATGCTGATGATATATTCCACTTTGAACCTGACTTAACTTTGCTTCCATAGCGATCATATGAGGCAGTTATTATTCCTACTGTATAGATAGGAAGCCAAGGGCCAGAGGTAGAACCGCCTCACTGCAGTCGGGCTAATAAATGGCAGGGCAGGGATTTGAACTGAGCCCTGACTAATAGCAAAGGCCATGACTTCTTAAAACATGATGTGTTATACACACTAAGGTATAAAATATGCACGTGTGGTTCAAAGGATAAGAATTAAACATGCATGTCGTCCACCACCCAACTTAAAACTTAAGGAATACTGTAAGAAACATCATCAATACCTTTGAAATGCTCTTTGGACTTGCATGTGCTGATTCTACCTCCTCCCTCCCTGCCTTCTGCCCCAAGAGACACAGAATTCAAGAGAGTGATTGTCATGTCTTATTTATTTATTAATTTTTGAGACATGGCGTCTCACTCTGTCACCCAGGCTGAAGTGCAGTGGCACGATCTCAGCTCACTGCAACCTCTGCCTCCCAGGTTCAAGCGATTCTCCTGCCTTAGCTTCCTGAGGAGCTGAGATTACAGGCATGCGCCAACGGGCCCAGTTAATTTTTGTATTTTTAGTAGAGACTGGGTTTCACCATGTTGGCCAGGACGGTCTCGATCTCTTGACCTCGTGATCCACCCACCTCGGCCTTCCAAAGTGCTGGGATTATAAGCGTGAGCCACTGCGCCCGGCCTATTTTTATTTTTTAAAGACAAACTCTTGCTCTGTTGCCCAGGTTAGAGTGTAGTGGTGCGATCACAGCTCACTGCAGCCTCCAACTCCCAGACTCAAGTGATCCTCCTGTCTCAGCCTTCTGAGTAGCTGGGAAAACAGGCGTGCACCACTCTTCTAACTTTTAAACTTTTTTTTTGTAGAGACAGGGTCTCGCTTGGTAGTGCAGGTGGTATCAAATTCCTGGCCTCAAGTGATCCTCCTGCTCCGGCCTCCCAAAGTGCTGGGATGACAGACGTGTGCCACCACGCCCGGCCTGTCTTATTGTTATTACTTTTTAACTCCATGTAGATGTATCCCTAAACAACATATTGTTAAGTTTGAATGTTTGAGTCTTTATATAAAAGGAATCATACTCTATGTATTTTTCCATGACTTAATTTTTCACTCAACATTCCATGTGTGAGATTCGTCCTATAACCTAGTAATTCTGTTTCTACGTATATACTCTAGAGAAACTTACATGTGAGCATCAGGAGATATGCGCATGTATGATCATAGGGGCAAATTCATAACGGCCTGAACCGGAAATAAACCAAATGTCCATCACCAAGAGAACAGACAGATGAATGAAGCTATATTTACACAATAGATACTAGAGAGCAGTAACAATGAATGTATCTTCTTGGATTAATCTCACAGAATATGGAGTGAAAAAAGCAAATTGTAGAAGAATATGTACAGTATCCATTTACCTACAGTCTATAACATGTGAAACCAACACTCTTATTTAGGGAGGCAAAAATGAAGATAATCTTTTTTTTTTTTTTTTTTTTTTGAGAGTCTCACTCTGTTACCCAGGCTGGAGTGCAATGGTACAATCTCAGCTCATTCCAGCCTCCGCCTCCCGGGCTCAAGGCATTATCCTGCCTTAGCCTCCCAAGTAGCTGGGATTACAGGTGTGCTGGGATTACAAAATTAGTCACCACACCTGGCTAATTTTAGATTTTGAATAGAGATGGGATTTCACTGTGTTGGCCAGGCTGGTCTTGAATTCCTGGCCTCAACTGATCTGCCTGCATCAGCATCCCAAAGTGCTGGGATTACAGGCGTGAGCCACCATGCCCAGCCCTGATCTTTATTGTTCATTTTCTTTTTAGAGACAGGGTCTCTGTCACCTGAAGTACAGTGGTGTGATCATGTTTCACTGCAGTCTTGAGCTCCTAGGCTTAGGTGATCCTCCTGCCTCAGCCTCCTGAGTAGCTGGGACCACAAGTGCTCACCATCACACCTGGCTAACATTTTCTATTTTTAGCAGTGATGGGGTTTTGCCCTGTTTGCCAGGCTGGTCTCAAACTCCTGACCTCAGGTGATCCACCCATCTCGGTCTCCCAAAGTGCTGGGATTACAGGTGTGAGCCACCACGCCCAGCCCTATCCTTTTATTTTAACCAATATATTCCAATTTATAACATTGGGGAAAAAAGTTTCTACTGCATAGAAATGGTTTTCTTATTTTTCTTTCCCAGAGTCCATGTTTTCTCTGTCCCTATGTAACTCTACCTAACCCAATTTCTGCTATACAGGACATACTCACTACTTACTCATTTATAGCAGAGGCAGGGTGTTGCTTTGTTGCCCAGGCTGGAGTGCAGTGGCACAATCATAGCTCACTGTGGCCTCCAAATCCTGGGCTCAAGTGTCCCCCTACCTCAGCCTCCTGAGTACCTGGGACTATAGGTGCCTGATCTCATACCTGTCTAATTTCATTTTTTTTTTTAATTTTGTAGAGACGGGGTCTCACTACGTTGACTAGGCTGATCTTGAACTCCTGCCCTCAAGTGATTCTCCTGCCTTGCCCTCCCAAAGTGCAGGGATTACAGGTGTGAGCCACCGTGCTTGGTCAGTACATCTTTAGTAAAGGAATAAGTACACTATTATTTTCGTGTGGGGTATTACCTGCCCATTTAGATAAAAATCCTCAGAGACAGGGGAGCTGCCTACATTTCTTTCATATTGCTAGTGTAGTCATGGCCACACAGCAGATCCTCAGCTAACAGCCAGTGAATTAAATATAGCTGGAAGGTGCTTCGGGAGCTTAGGTTTTCCCTTTTTTAAACAATTATTTAATTTAATTTTTTTTTGAGATGGAGTCTTGCTGTCACCCAGGCTGGAGTGCAATAGTATGATCTCAGCTCACTGCAGCCTCTGCCTTCCGGGTTCAAGTGATTCTCCTGCCTCGGTCTCCTGAGTAGCTGGGATTACAGGCATATGCCACCATGCCTGGCTAATTTTTGTATTTTTAGTAGAGACGGGGTTTCACCATGTTGGTCATGCTTGTCTCGAACTCCTGACCTCATGATCTGCCCGCCTTGGCCTCCCAAAGTGCTTGGATTACAGGCATGGGCCACCGCACACAGCCCTTTTAAAAAGTTTTTAATTTTTATTTTTAAAGAGGCAGGTTCTCATTTTGTTGCCCAGGCCTGTCTCAAACTTCTGGGTTCAAGTGATCTTATTTTTTTTCAGATGGATCTTGCTCTGTTGCCCAGGCTGGAGTGCAATGGCTTAATCTCGACTCACTGCAACCTCTGCCTCCTGGGTTCAGGTGATTCTCCTGCCTCGGCCTCCCGAGTACCTGGGATTACAGGCAGGCACCACCATGCTGGGCTAATTTTTATATTTTTAGTAGAGACAGAGTTTCACTCTGTTGGCCAGCCTGGTCTCCAACTCCTGATCTCAAGTGCTCTGCTTGCCTCAGCCTCCCAAAGTGCTGGGATTACAGGCCAGATGTTCCAATTTTAATAATCTCTTTGTGGAGTCAAGTTGTAAGTACAGAAAGAACTGGCTCAGAACATCGTCAGTTCCCTGGCCATTCACCGGGATGCACACCCAGAAGAATAACAATGCTCCTCAATGATGCTATTGCAAGTACCTCGCCAATGGCCTTGATCTTGCTCAGGCAGTTCCTCATGGCGGTGCTGTCAGCATTCTCAAGGGTTCCCTCTTCTTCCAGGGAGGCCAGGTAGGTGAGGGTTTCCCTGCCGTACTGCTTACAGGCCTCGGTCAGTGCTAGAGATGCAAGGCAACAGATACTTTTTATTTTTTCTGAGACGGAGTCGCGCTGTCACCCAGGCTGGAGTGCAGTGGCTCGATCTTGGCTCACTGCAAACTCCGCCTCCGGGGTTCAAGCGATTCTCTTGCCTCGGCCTCCTGAGTAGCTGGGATTACAGGTGCACTACCATGCCCGGCTAATTTTTATATTTTTAGTAGAGATGGGGTTTCACCATGTTGGCCAGGCTGTTCTTGAACTCCTGATCTCAAGTGATCTGCCCACCTTGGCCTCCCAAAGTGCTGGGTTACAGGCATGAGCCACCATGCTCCGCCCAACAGAGACTTTTTTTTTTTAAAAGTGTTTCACTCTTGCTGTCTAGGCTGTAGTGCAATAGGCTGTTGTCAGCTCACTGCAACCTCCACCTCCAGGGTTCAAGTGATTCTCCTGCCTCAGCCTCCCGAGTAGATGGGATTACAGGCATGCGCCAACACGCCCAGCTAATTTTTGTATTTTTAGTAGAGACAGGGTTTCTCCATATTGTTTAGGCTGTTCTCGAACTCCTGACCTCAGGTGATCTGCCTGCTTCAGCCTCCCAACGTGCTGGGATTACAGGCGTGAGCCACCTTGCCCAGATCAACAGAGACTTTTAAAGACCCCCTACTCCTCTGGTACATGAGCAGCCCCTCATGCCCTGGCACTCACAGTCAGCAGGCTCAGGTGGGGCTCTGAGGCTGGTGGTGGCACCGTGAGTGATGGCATCGCTGCTCAAGTGCGCCAGTAGGGTTATGGAATGGAGAAGTGCACTGAGGTCTGTTGGGAAAAGGAAGTTTCTCAGTCTGGTTGATGATGTCACTCTCAGAGCCTCTTCTCCCCTGTTTCATGAGTTGCCTACACGCCTTTCCTGATGCAGGGGAAACTGTTCCCGCATTCAGGTGCTTCTGAATGCATTCCCACCGTCACTAATGACAGAGACTCTCCTTGGCCCTTCTTACCTTCTGGGCAGGCCAGATACTGGCTCCAGCTTTTCTCCAGTTGCTCAATGCAGCTGGAAATGGATGTGACAGCAGAGAGGAGATGATCTGTGAGAGGGAACACAGGGTAAGGTCAGGGCAAGTTCTCACAGCTGGCTTCATCCTCGTCAATTAAGTGCCGAACGGAGGAGCTTACCTAGTGGGGAGGCTTCCTGCCTAGAAGTGAAGTTCATGAGCAACCACCTCTTCATTCAGAACATAGTTTCTTCCATACAGAAACACAGAATTGTCTGCTCCTGGTGGATTTTCTTGTCAGTGTGACCCACTGTCTAAAGTGGTGGCTATCACACCTGGGGCCTTTAGAAAATACTACTGCTAGGCCTAGTGTGGTGGTTCATGCTTGTTATTCCAGCACTTTGGGAGGCCAAGGTGCGAGTTCAGAAGTCTGAGACCAGCCTGGGCATACAGTGAGACCTCATCTCTACCAAAGATTAAAAAATTAGCCAAGGCCAGGCATGGTGGCTCATGCCTGTAATCCCAGCACTTTGGGAGGTCAAGGTAGGGGGACTGCCTGAGCCCAGGTCTTCAAGACCAGTCTGGGCAATGTGGTGAAACCCCATCTCTAAAAGCAATATAAAAATTGGCTGGTGCAGTGGCTCACGCCTGTAATCCCAGCACTTTGGGAGACTGAGGCAGGTGGATCACAAGGTCAGGAGTTCTGGACTAGCCTGGCCAACACAGTGAAACCAAAAATACAAAATTTAGCTGGGCATGGTGGTGCATGCCTGTAATCCCAGCTACTCAGGAGGCTGAGGTAAGAAAATTGCTTGCCTGGGAGGCGGAGGTTGCAGTGAGCCGTGTTTGCACCATTGCACTCCAGGCTAGGCGACAAGAGCAAGACTCCATCTCAAAAACAAGACAAAAACAAAAATTAGCTGGGCGTGGCGTTGTGTGCCTGCAGTTCCAGCTACTTGGGAGACTGAGTGGGGACGATTTCTTGAGCCCAGGAAGCAGAGGTTGCAGTGAGCCACTGCACTGCACTCCAGCTTAGGCAACAGACTAAGACCCTATTTCAAAAAGAAAAAAGAAAAGAAAATACTAATGCACAGAGTTTCCAAATTTAACTGATCTAGGATGGGGCCTGGGCACCCCTAAGGTAATGCTGACATGCCACTGAGCGGAGTGCCCCTGTGCTAAGTCTCACGTGAGACTGTAAAATAACAGAGTCTCAGTCTGTAAGGACCTGGCCCCTGCCAGCTGAGCAATTGCAAGTGTACCTGCAGACCCGGCGCAGCTGATGAGAGGGGGTTCTTCAAGCTGGTTCAGGGCGTCTTGTATCACCTGCTCCGCAGCCTTCCTGGACCCCACCAGAAGCCTTTTTCGTTGGTCTTTCACAAGCTGGCACATAGATTCCTAAAAAGGGTCCAGGGAGGTGAGACTCTGCCCTACACTCCATAATGAACCTGAGCAGCATGACCTGGTTAGAGTTCTGTAGGAGTTCAGTCAGGGTGGTGGGAGAAATTGTAGGAAAAGGATGTAAACCTTGGAAGGCCGGGAGGTTTTGCAAAGGCCTTGGGAAGGAGGCTAAGGCTGAAGGCAGCCTAATCCCCTTTCCTTGAGCAAATAGCTATAGAGCAGATACATAGGAATGTAGGGGAATTTATCTAAACAGCTTGTTTACTCATGTGGTCCTAAGACCGACCTTTGCACATCCAAGGGTAGACGACTGCTCTCTACTCGGGGGGTCAGCAAAGGTTATTACCCACAAATGGTGTTTGCTTTAGGCCTTTGCCATTAAATCTGTACTAAACAGAGGCCCAGGGGTCTGGCTGGTGGGGCCATGGCTGCTGACTCTTGACAGCATCCTCTTCGGTGTCCATAAGCGGCCTGGTCCCCTAGCCTGCTCTTTCACGGGATACGTGTGTCTGAGTGCATTTGTTCATCCTTCGCTGGGTCAGAGTCTGCGGGTCGGACCCGACTGAGCTCCTAGCATCTTAGCTCAAGTCATGGCCAGTGAGGTCCAAGCCAGTTAGCCTGAGACAGAGGAAGCTGCTTTAACTCTGTGCACAGGGTATGCTGCGGCCCACAGGGGCTCGGGGGATGGATTACTGCATCCCCTTCTCATGCCTGGGAGAGAATGCCAAATTTCCCTTGTCATACAAAAAAGAGAGCACTCTGCTTTCCCTCATGGTCTCTGCAGGAAATGCAGGGCCTGCCGGCATCAGGGGCTGGCATTATACCTACAGAATGCCTTCACAATCAGGCCAAGGCCCCACCCACTTCACAGCAGCCCCGGAGTCTTCCCGGCCTCCGTGCACGCGCAGAGCCCTTGGTGGGAGGTCACGGGTGCTTGCTCGCTTCCACGTCTGTTACTTGCCTCTGTGCTGGCCAGTTTGAGCTGGGTGTCCTGCAGTTCTTTCCGAAGAGCAGATAATTCCTCCTCCCTGTGAGCTGCGCCACTCACCAGGCTGTCCCGCTCCTTCTCTAGCTCGGTGATCTGGGCTGCCCAGTTTGCTTCTGACTGAAAAGGTGACCGCAAGGAAAGAGGGAGACGCTGATCGGGTTAAACAGTCCCCACTGCCCAGAGTTCCAACCCACCACCTGGCTACAAGGACTGAGAGGTGATGGCTCTTGAACCTGCCACTCTGATTCCCACCCAAGGATGCTCTGATTGCAGCTGGGGCCGACTTGGCCAGGCCAGCGATGGTGGATGAGAGCAATGCCGAAGCCAGGGGTGGGGCAAGAAAGGAGGCCAGCCGTGGAGGCTCGTGCCTGTAATCCCAGCACTTTAGGAGCCCGAGGTGGGCGGATCACTTAAGCCCTGGAGTTCGAGACCAGCCTGGTTAACATAGTGAAAGCCGGGTGTAGTGGTGTGTGCCTACAGTCCCAGATATTTTCGGGGCTAAGTGGGAGGATCAACTGAGCCCAGGGAGGTGGAGGCTGCAGTGAGCTGAAATTGCGCCACTGCATTCCAGTTTGGGTGATGGAAGAAGACCCTGTCTCAGGAAAAAAAAAAAAAGTGAAAGGAGGCATTTACCTGGGCAGACGTTTCCAGGCTGCCTTGGAGAACCTGGAGCTCCTGCTGGCTTGTGGCAAGTTCTTGCTTCAAGCTCTCTAGAACTTCCAGCTGTTCTTGAGTCTGAAAGAGAAGAAAAGCAGAGGGACTCTGATCTGAGTGGTGGCAGTAAAGGATATAAAAACGTAAAAATGTCCCAAGCGATCAAAAAGAGATCTGTCAACTCTACTGTACATAAGTTACACCCCCCAAAAATGCAGCATGGGAGGAGGCGAGACCCCAGAGTGTACTGAAAATGTTTCTTCTGGCTAAGTGGAATGTCAAGGAAAGAATGGTATTTATTTATTTATTTATGAGACACAGTCTCACTCTCATCACCCAGGCTGGAAGGCAGTGATGCGATTTTGGCTCACTGCAACCTCCGCCTCCCGGGTTCAAGCAATTCTCCTGCCTCAGCCTCCCGAGTAGCTAGGGATGAGGTTTTGCCATGTCAGCTACCCTGGTCTCCAACTTCTGACCTCAGGCAATCCTCCGGCCTTGGCCTCCCAAGGTGCTGGGATTACAAGCATGAGCCACTGCACCTGGCTTCCAGGAAGGAACCTTAGAAATATTTCCCAAATGTCATGCTTGAGTCCATACTACCCAAACCAAACTAGATCTTAAATCTAGGCGTCCCAACAGCCGGTGTACTGCTGAGCCACAGCATCTGGACCTTAAATCCAGGCCCCCCAACAGCCGGTGTACTGCTGAGCCACAGCATCTGGACCTTAAATCCAGGCCCCCCGACAGCCGGTGTACTGCTGAGCCACAGCATCTGGACCTTAAATCCAGGCCCCCCGACAGCCGGTGTACTGCTGAGCCACAGCATCTGGACCTTAAATCCAGGCCCCCCAACAGCCGGTGTACTGCTGAGCCACAGCATCTGGACCTTAAATCCAGGCCCCCCAACAGCCGGTGTACTGCTGAGCCACAGCATCTGGATCTTAAATCCAGGCCCCCCAACAGCCGGTGTACTGCTGAGCCACAGCATCTGGACCTTAAATCCAGGCCCCCCAACAGCCGGTGTACTGCTGAGCCACAGCATCTGGACCTTAAATCCAGGCCCCCCAACAGCCGGTGTACTGCTGAGCCACAGCATCTGGATCTTAAATCCAGGCCCCCCAACAGCCGGTGTACTGCTGAGCCACAGCATCTCTCCAGCTCCAAATGACTCTTTCTTCAGTGTTTCTCAAAGAGTGGGTTGAGGCTCATTAGTAAGAATTCACAGCTATCATTTAAAAAATGGATTTAATAGAACAGAAATATCCAAATGAATTTACATAGTAAGGATAAGTATTGCTTGGTGAAACTTGTATTTCTGTGAGACAGATGTAGATTTTATATGTGGTCACAGAAAAGTGTGAAAGCTACTCTTCTAAATCTAAGACATGTGGTTTGATCTCTCCGACATCTCTAACTCTGCCGCTAAACCTCTGATCTGCTGATCGGTCCTCCCCCAACATAATGATATTCTCTTGCATTTTTTTTTTTGAGATGGAGTCTCGCTCTGTTGCCCAGGCTGGAGTGTAGTGGTGCAATCTCAGCTCACTGCAACCTCTGCCTCCCAGGTTCAAGCAATTCTCCCGTCTCAGCCTCCCAAGTAGCTGGGACTATGGGCACGGGTCACCACGCCTGGCTGATTTTTCTGTAGTTTTAGTAGAGAGGGGTTTCAACATGTTGGTCAGGCTGGTCTCAAACTCCTGACCTCAGGTGATCCATCCACCTCTGCTTCCCAAAGTGCTGGTATTACAGGTGTGAGCCATTGCACCAGACTTTTTCTTAAATAGAGACAGGGTCTCATTCTGTCACCCAGGCTAGGGTGCAGAGAGGCAATCATAGCTCACTGCTGCCTCGATCTCAAACTGTGATCAGCAATTTTCTCACCTGAGCTTCCCAAGTAGCTAGAATCGCAGGCATAGACACCACTACACCTGGCTAATTTTTACATTTTTTTTTGTCTTGCTCTGTTGCTCAGGCTGGAGTGCAGTGGCATGATCACAGCTCACTGCAGTGTCAAACTCCTGGGCTCACAATCTTCCTGCATAGCCTCCCAAGTAGTTGGGGCTACAGGCATGCGCTACCACGCCCAGCTAATTTCTTAGTTTTTTTTTTGTAGACACAAGGTCTCACTTGGTGACCCAGGCTGGCTTGGAACTCCTGGCCTCAAGCCATCTTCCCTCACGCTGGGATTCCATGAACCACCGTGACTGGCCTGTCTGCAAGTATTTGTAAATAATGCTCGTCCCTGTCTCTCTGCTACCCATGTATTTTCCTTTCCCCAGACTCTCCTCCAGACTCATCCTTGGAAAGCCTTTGCTGATTAAATCCATGTAACTTGGGTCCTTCCATTATTTCGTGTATGCGCTGGTGACAGTGTCTTGCTGTTCTGTGTGGCTGCCATGGTTTGCTCCCTGCGGTGTGATGCCAACCAACCCACAGAACTGCCCACGGAGCAGAAGACCACGAAGCCCCCTCCACTAACTCGACAGCACCCTCCTTCATTTCCCGAGCGCTCCTTCTCCCACTCACCTTCCGCTGGCCCTGGTCACCAATGCGCTCCAATGAGTCCTCCAGCTCTTTTTTTTCTCGTTCCAGATCTACCTGGGCTTGTCTGGCCACGGACACCTGTTTGGTCACCTCCGCATTCTGCAAAAGAACAGTGTCTTGAACCAGGGGATCCAAAGCTTAGCGGACATCCTCCTCCTAGGATAAACGACCACACTCTGGCTGTGCGCCCCCTAGAGTCAGATATGGGAATCACTTTCCTACTGAGAGGGAAGCGGGAACAGAACCATCACCTTCAGATGCTTGCCACTCACGTATTTCCAAAATAATAAAGAAGGTGGGTGACCTACAATGGGGCTGGCAGCCAGGACAGAGCCCAAGACACAGAGGCAAGGCAGCCTGAAAAGGTGTGGTTCCCGAGATGGTGGCAATGCCTTAGAGATCAATAGAGGGGGTGCCGGCCTCGGGGAAGCCGCAGGTCTGAGCCGCTCTCTCCCCCGAGGTGCGGGGCCTGCAGGATGGTGATGGGGGCCGAGGGTCCTACCTTCCGTAGCAGGTCAGCGTGGTTCTGAACCAGCTCGCTGTACTTCTCCTTTAGCTTGCTATACCGCTGTTCATTGGCCTGCGCTTTCCCTGTATTGTCAAGGACCAAGGTGAGGAGTCTACCCTAGCAGGGACCCTTGCCCTCCTTGCAATGAGCCAGGGTCCCTCGAAGATCCTCCTTGTTTTGTTTTGACAGTTTTGCTGTCACCCAGGCTGGGGTACAGTGGCACAATCACTGCTCACTGCAGCCTCGACCTCCTTGGGCTCAAGCCATCCTCCCACCCCCGTCTCCTGAGTAGCTGGGCTCATGGGCACATGCCACCGCACCTGGCTAATTTTTGTAGAGACACGGTCTCACTATGGTGCTCGTGCTGGTCTCAGACTCCTGGGCTCAGGTGATCCACCCGCCTCCGTGGGATTACAGGTGTGAGCCACCGTGCCTGGCCAAAGATCCTCCTTCGATTTCAGGAATCCATATATGTTTTTCTCCCTTGGAAATCCTACTTACAGAAACTTCTCTGGGAAGTCATCTTTAAGAAGAATTCCACTGGTTAAAAATCAAGCCAGGGGCCAGGCGAGGTGGCTCACACCTACAATACCAGCACTTTGGGAGGCTGAGGTGGGGGATCACCTGAGGTTAGGAGTTCGAGACCAGCCGGGCCAACATGGTGAAACTTCATCTCTACTAAAAATACAAAAATTAGCCAGGCATGGTGGTGTGTGCCTGTAGTCTTAGTTACTCAGGAGGCTGAGGCAGGAGAATTGCTTGAACCTGGGAGGCGGACGTTGCAGTGAGCCCAGCCTGGGGGACAGAGTGAGACTCTGCCTCAAAAAAAGAAAAGAAAAGAAAACAAAAAAATAATCAACCAGGGCCTCATGCCTCTTTAGCACTTACATACGTGGCATTTATTCTATCTGGGCTTTCAGCTTTTCAAAAAAAACTAATTAAATTTTTTTAGAGATAAGGGTCTCCATTACTGAGGCTGGAGTGCAGTGGTATGATCAGCTTATTACAGCCTTGAATTCCTGGGCTCAAGTGATACTCCTGCGTCAGCCTCAAAAGTAGCTGAGACTACAGGCATGTGCCACCACATTTGGCTAATCTTTATTTTTTCTAGAGACGGGGTCTTGCTATGCTGCCCAGGTTGGTCTTGAACTTCTGGCCTCAAGCAATCCTTCCATCTTGGCCTCCCAAAGTGCTAGGATTACAGGCATGAGACACTGTGCCCGGTCGGCTCTCAGCTTTTGTGTCAATTTCTTTGTCAGGACCTCAATCCTCTCTCTTCTCCCTTAGCATCCACTGCCCAGGGCAAGCACTTCAGCGCCATTGTCTATACCATCTATGTGCTCAGCGGTGCCTCACACAGGCCTTTGTGCCTGCAGGACTCAAACCCGCCCTCTAGACTGAGGCTAAGAGCTGGCATTCCTGACAGTGCTTCTAGAAGGACACAGCTGTGGGGTCTCCCCTGCCCAGCCTCTGTGCCTCATCCTGAGTCCAGCTGGGCTCTGCTGCCCGGGCCTGCGCCCTGAGCCGGCCCCTACCTCCGCCACCGCCCCCACCCGCCACTCACTTTCTATCTCAGACAAGCTCCGCTGAGCCTTCTCGGTGTCCTCCCGCTGCCTCCGGAGCTCGTCCAGTTCTGCCCGCAGGAACTCACAGTCGTCGGCCGCCTGCTGCCGCAGGTGCTGCTGCTCGGCTAGCTCTGCTTCCAGCTCGCTGATGCGGCCCTTCAGCTGCAGCACGACTCGCTGGCTCTGTGGGGGACTCGGGTCATGAGGCCAACCGCCCACTGCCACGGGTCATGGGTGTGAACCGGAGAAGCGGGTCCTACCATGCTTCCACGTAAATACCCGGTTCCCCAAGTCAACCCCCCGTGTCTCAGTAGGCTTGGGCGGTCTGGTCAATCAGCAGTAACAGAGGATGATGGCAGGGCAATTGTGGTCCTCTTTAGAGTGGCCAGGAGTAGTGGTGGCTGTCCCTGCGCGTAAGGTCACCTGACCAGCCACTCTGAGGGGCAGTTATTGATGCAGCACCAACACTGCACATAGCCATCTTCTTCTTTTTTATTTTTTGGTTGGGGGAGACAGGGTATCACTCTCACAGACTGGAGTGCAGTGAGGTGATCCTGGCTCACTGCAGCCTCAACCTTCTGGGCTTAAGAGATCCTCTAGCTTTAGCCTCCCAAGAAGCCAGCAGTACAGGTAATTTTTGTCCAGCTAATTTTTAAAGTTTTTTTTATAGGGCCAGGCACAGTGGCTCACACCTGTAATCCCAGCACTTTGGGAGGCCAAGGCAAGCAGATTACCTGAGGTCGGGAGTTCAAGATCAGCCTGTCCAACATGGAGAAACCCTGTCTCTACTAAAAATACAAAATTATCTGGGTGTGGTGGCGCATGCCTATAACCCTGAACCTGGGAGGCAGAGGCTGCAGTGAGCCGAGATCGCACCATTGCACTCCAGCCTGGGGAAAAAGAGTGAAACACTGTCTCAAAAAAAAAAAAAAAAAAAGTCTTCTGTAGAGATGGGGTCTTGCTATGTTTCCCAGGCTAGTCTTGATCTCTTGGGCTCAAGTGATCCTCCTGCTTGGGCCTCCCAAAGTGCTGGGATTACAGGTGTGAGCCACTGCGCCTGGCATGCCAATCTCTCCTTATCATCGTGTGAGAAAGTCTAGTCTTGTTTCCCACAGCTTTTGAGCCTTGTGGGGGCCCAGGGTCATCTCTGGGTATCACAGCGATACTGTCCCTGGCCTAAACGCTGCCCTCAAGGGCAGAGGCCACAGGAAGACCTGTTTCTTTTGGAGTTAACATTTCTACCAGTTTTTGTTTGGCTTTAGAGATGGGGGTCTCACTATGTTGCTCAGGCTGGATTCAAACTCCTGGGCTTGAGTGATCCTCCCACCTCAGCCTGCTGAGTAGCTGAGATCACAGGCGCATACCACCACATCTGGCTCGTTTCTACTAATTAACCTGTCCTAAGGATGTGGACCAAAAAGTGCCTATGTGATTATGTGAGGTAATTTTTTCTCAGTTCACTGCAACCTCTGCCTCCCAAGTTCAAGCAATTCTCAGCTCTCAGCTTCCCGAGTAGCTGGAATTACTGGTGCCTCCCAGCACACCTGGCTAATTTTTGTATTTTTAGTGGAGACGGGGTTTCACCATGTTGCCCAGGCTGGTCTCAAACTCCCAACCTTGGCTAATCTTTCTACCTTACCTTGACCTCCCAAAGTGCTGGGATTACAGGCGTGAGCCACCATGCCCGGCCCATGCAGTTTCTTTCTTTATTTTTTTTTTTGGAGACAGGGTCTTGCCTTTTTGCCCAGGCTGGAGTGCAGGGGTGCAATCATGGCTCATTGCAGCCTCCAACTCCTGGGCTCAAGTGATCCTCCCACCTCAGCCTCCCAAGTAGCTGGGATGACAGGTACATATCACCAACCTCAGTTAACTTAAAATTTTTCTGTAGCGATGGGGTCTTCCTATGTTGTCCAGGTTGGTCTCAAAGTATCCTCTCACCTTAGCCTCCCAAAGTGCTGGGATTACAAGCGTGAGCCACCGTGCCTGGCCAGTGTGATGCAAATGTAACACTCAAATCTACCATGTTTTGGTGAAGGACAAAGGCAGAGCAGATCCAAGGCATACCTCAGTCTTCATGTTTTCTAGCTGTGCCTTCAGTCCACTGATCTCTCTGTATAGTCGCTCGATTAAGTGGTCCCTGGGAAGAGAAAGGGAATGAGTTTGCTTCCATAGTGCTTCTAGCCCTCTCCTTTTAATTGTGTGCTCAGGGGAGGAAATTAAAAGCTGGTATTAATTTGGGGACAGTTCTTTGAAACTTCATACTCTTAATCAGATACGAATCTAGTAGTCGTAAATCCATGGTTATTGATTTTCTTCTGGGATTAAAGGGGCCAATATTTGAGGATCAAGACATCTTGTGTGTGTGTGTTTGGTTTCGTTTTAGAGAGAGTCTGGCTTTGTTGCCCAGGCTGAAGTGTAGTGGCACGATCATAGCTCACTGCAGCCTTGATATCCCAGGCTCAAGTGATCGGCCCACTTCAGCCTCTTGAGTAGCTGGGATTACAGGTGTATACCCCCACCCAGCTAATTGTTTTACTTTTATTTAATAGCGATGGGATCTTGCTATGTTGCCCAGGCTGGTCTTGAACTCCTGGCCTCAAGCAATCCTCCTGCCTCATCCTCCCAAAATGTTGAGATTATAGGCATGAGCCACAGCACCCGACCCTTCAAGATGTTCTTTGTCTAAGTAGCCCCTCCTCTTTGGTTACTGTTTTGAGGCAGACCATGGCTGAACTTAGCTCCTATACCATCTGCTTGAAGCCAGCTTGGACTCACTTCTCGTCCTTGTTCACGCCGTTTTGACTGTTGAAATTGAAGGGGTCGCTGCTGAATGAGCTGCCAAAGATGTCATCAAACTTGTTGTCAAATAAATTCTGTGGTTGACCAAAACGGAGCGAGAGTAAGTCAGAGAGCCGGAGAACTGTGTGTGGGTCAGCTGAGCGACATGGGAGGATGGCCCTGTTCTGTTTGGTTCAGACCGATTTGTTTGTTTGTTTGTTTGTTTTTTGAGACGGAGTTTTGCTCTTGTTACCCAGGCTGGAGTGCAATGGCTCATTCTCAGCTCACCGCAACCTCTGCCTCCTGGGTTCAAACGATTCTCCTGTCTCAGCCTCCCAAATAGCTGGGATTACAGGCATGCGCCACCATGCCCAGCTAATTTTTTTTGTATTTAGTAGAGACGGGGTTTCACCATGTTGGCCAGGATGGTCTTGATCTCTTGACCTCATGATCCACCCGCCTCGGCCCCCCAAAGTGCTGGGATTACAGGCATGCACCACCACGCCTGGCTAATTTTGTATTTTTAGTAGAGACGGGGTTTCACCATGTTGGCCAGGATGGTCTCGATCTCTTGACCTCGTGATCTACCCGCCTCGGCCTCCCAAAGTGCTGGGATTACAGGCATGCACCACCACGCCTGGCTAATTTTGTATTTTTAGTAGAGACAGGGTTTCTCCATGTTGGTCAGGCTGGTCTTGAACTCCCAACCTCAGGTGATCCACCTGCCTCAGCCTCCCAAAGTGCTGAGAATTACAGGAGTGAGCCACTGCATCTGGCCTATTTTTTTTTTTTTTTTGACAGGTTCTCACTCTACTGCCCAGGCTGGGGTTCAGTGGTACAATCATAGCTCACTGCAGCCTCAAACTCCTGGCTCAGCTTCCTGAGTAGCTGGAAGTAGAGGTATAGACCACCATGCCTGTCTAATTTTGTTATTTTGGGTTTTATTTATTTATTTATTTATTTAGGTCCTGGCTCTTGTCCTCTTGCCTAGGCTGGAGTGCAGTGGCATAATAGCTCACTGCATAGCTGGGGCCACAGGTATGTGCCACCACGTCTGGCTAATTTATTTTTGTAAAGATGGGGTCTTCCTATGTTGCCCAGGCTGGTCTTGAACTGGCCTCAGGCAATCTTCCCACTTGGCCTAGCAAAGTGCTGGGATTATAGCTGTGAGCCGCTGCACCCATCCAGACCCGTTTATGATCCTTCTGGGAGTCACAGGGCAGGATGCTCAGCCAAGGTTGCTACTAGGTGAAGAGAAGGCTGAACCTGGTTAGCGTCAATGGGCTTTGGCCAGGGTCTCCCCCAGCCTCTCCCCTGTACCTGGAGGCAAGAGGAAAGGCCAAGTTCCTCTTCCAATTGGTCCTCACCTGCTGAGAGGCGTCCATGTCCATGAGGTCATCCTTCTCGAGCACTGGCTCGCTGTCGGGGGACGAGGCCTCCGCCGGGATCACCACCACAGGGCTGATGTGCTCTGACAGGGCTGAGGCTCGCAGGAAGTTGGGTGGGTTCTGAAGACGGAGACACATCCTCAAACAGTGCTCACTTGCCAGGCCCTGACAGCCTCTAAGAGGGTACTTGGGGCCTCTGCAGTGCCCAGGGTAGGTAGACAGGCACGCTTACCTCAGGCAGCTGGGGGATCTGAATCAGCCGCTTGAAGTACTGCAGGTTACTGGAGCGGTAGAAGAGATCTTTCAACCTAGGGGTGGAGAAGGGCCTGAGGGCTGCTGGGTGCCTTAAGGGACAGAGCAGCCACCTGGCCTTCCCAAAGGCCCAGGCTGTCAAGGAGATGAACTCCATGGCACTGGGATTCAATTATGATGCTACAGAGAAGGATTAGTTAAAGCTGGTCCTCAGGGACCTGGTGGTAAGGAAAGAGTAGCTCGTGCTACAAATCCTGGAAGTGGAGGTAATCCGAAAGCCGGTTTCTTCATTGCTGTAGATAAATGCTGTTGTTTTGCAGACTTAACTTCCTAGGAGTGCTTGGTTTAGAGTAACATTAATAGAAATTGACTTTCTCTGAGGATAAACCAAGTAACCATAGGAGAAGGGAAGGGAATTTAATCACAGAGGTAGCTCTTCTTTAATTACTTCTCCTTGTTTCTGGACTATTTGTTCTCTCCACAATTACACTGTAAGTTCCCGGGAAGTAGGGACCGAGCTCTGCTGAGCTGTTTGCCCTAGTGCCAGGAACAGGGGAGCCATTCAGTAAACACTTGGAGTGTTTCAGTTGCTTGGTAGTGTGTCCTAACCGTGGGTGGACACGCACATGAAGAAACCAGCATTTTCTCATAGCCCATGCAGCCTCAAATTCCGGGGCTCAAGCGGTCTTCCTGCCTCAGTCTCCCGAGTTGCTAGAACTACAGGGATTCACCACCATGCCTGGCTGGTTTTTAATTTTTTGGTACAAACAGGGCCTTGCTGTGTTGACCAGGCTGGTCTCAAAACTCCTGGCTTCAAGCAACCCTACTGCCTTGGCCTCCCAAAGTGCTGGGATTACAGGCGTGAGCCCCCACACCTGGCAAATCTTTTTCTCATTCTCAAATATCTATTTTGAATCTAAACACTGAAGACCAAGAAAGCTGAGAGTATCCAGATGTATATATTCTTTATCTTTATTACTTTTAAGTATTTTTTGATAGGGTCCTACTCTGTCACCCAGGCTCGAGTATAGTGGCATGATCATGGCTCACTGCCGCCTTGACCTCCTGGGCTCAAGCGATCCTCCCACCTCAGCCTCCCAAGTAGTTGGAACCATCATGCCCAGCTCAGACTTATCTATTCTCAGATAAAAGGGGAACATGGGCCTTAACTCCTTCGGCCTGCAACACAGAATTTTCTCCAGCTTAGCCCAATAAATGAACCCCCCGGGGTCTCCTTGCAGCCTGTCAGATACCAAGACGTAGGCCGGTCTCTGTGACATCACTGCCACTTCCCCTGAATTCAAGGACAGTGAGGTCTCAGACAGATGGCTGTGGCTGTGCGAAACAGCAAGGCTGCTCCCATTTACTCAGGGGAGATGTTTTCATAAGCGAGAAGAAAATGAAAGGAAATGAAATCACCTGACCACACGTCCCCATCTTGCTGGGTTGGAGCCAACAGTAACAGGCTGAGCGCTTTCGCAAGCTACCGGAATTTCACATTCCAGGAAATCAGCCCCAGGGCCTGTCTCCTGGGACTAAAGAAGCCATTTATCTTGGAATGTGTACTCGGCTTCTCAAATGGAACAGAGGCACCAGGAGGTGGGAACCACCACACACTCGTCCTTTGCTCGCTCCCGGGGAAGCGGCCAGAGAAGCTGGAACTTGGCATTTGGGAGCTATGGCCAAGGGTGAGGAAATCAACAGGAAAAACAAGAGGACGCACATATACAGAAGCCAGGAGGCCCTTTCTGCTCCCTCCGTCCTCCCAGCTCTCACCCTATTCCTTCCCTTTCGCCTGGTCATGCTTTCTCTTTTCTTTTGAGATGCAGTCTCAAAACAGTCTTGCTCTGCTGCCCAAGCTGTAGCACAGTGGCGCGATCTCAGCTCACTGCAACCTCTGCCACCCAGGTTCACACAACGCTCTTGCCTCAGCCTCCCGAGTAGCTGGGATTACAGGTGCGCGCCACCACACCTGACTAATATTTGTATTTTTAGTAGAGACCGGGTTTTACCATGTTGGCCAGGCTGGTCTCGAACTCCTGACCTCAAGTGATCCACTCACCTCAGCCTCCCAAAGTACTGGGATTACAGGCGTGAGCCACCGCACCTGGCCTAAATAAGATCTTTTTTTTTTTTTGAAATGGAATCTCCTTCTGTTGCCCAGGCTGGAATGCAGTGATGTGATCTTGGCTCACTGCAACCTCCACCTCCTGGGTTCAGGCAATTCTCCTGCCTCAGCCTCCCGAGTAGCTGAGATTACATGCGTGCGCCACCATGCCCAGCTAATTTTGGTATTTTTAGTAGAGACAGGATTTCACCATGTTGGTCAGCCTGATATTGAACTCCTGACCTCAAGTGATCTGCCCGCCTCGGCCTCCCAAAGTGCTGGGATTACAGGCGTGAGCCACTGCGCCTGGCTGGTGTTAGCAACCTTTACTCAGGCAGCCGTGTACAGTAGCAGCAGAGGTCCTGCTCCTTAAAGAGGAGCCTATTCTACCCCATAGGCAGTGGGCCCAGAATAGCAGCTGTCATATTTACATCTACTTTTAATTTTATGTAAATTAAGGGGCAGGTTATGCAGAAATTTCTAGACAAAAAGTGGTAACTTCCGGATCGTCAGGTTATTGTCATGGAAAGAGGCGCTAACTTCCGGGTGTTGCCATAGCAATGGTAAACTCTCACGGCAACTGGTGGGCCTGTCTTATGAGAGGTGCTTCTTCCCCTTCCCCATTTTACTTGTCCTTAATTTGGTCCGATGCCCAAGCCCTGCCTCTGGAGTCCAGTTCCCCATCCCACCTCAGGAGCAGGTCATATTTGTAGGGTATCAACCAAACCTGCTAGTGGATTGGACATGGGGGATGAGGAAAATAGTATCTTCCAGATCTCAGGCCTAAATGGATGATGGCAATATTTGTTGAGATAGAAAAGAATGGGGAGGGGCTGGGCACAGTGCCTCACCCCTGTAATCCCATCACTTTGGGAGCCTGAGGCGGGCAGATCACTTGAGGTCAGGAGTTCGAGACCAGCCTGGCCAAATAGTGAAACCCTGTCTCTACTAAAAATACAAAAATTAGCCAGGCATGATGGCGGATGCCTGTAATCCCAGCTACTCGGGAGGCTGAGACAGGAGAATCACTGAAGATAGGGAAGCTGAGGTTGCAGTCAGCTGAGATCGCACCACCGCACTCCAGGCTGGGTAACAGAGTGAGACTCTGTCTCAAAAAAGAAAAAAATAAAGGAATGAAGATAGAAAGGTTATTTTTGGGAAAACCTACAGTACAGTTGGAGATTTAAGTATGGTATACAGATGTCTAACTGGGCACAAGAGGTTGGAATTCAGAAGTAAGGCTTAGCTAGAGATACATACTCAGGGGTTATCAGTCTATAAATGCTACAAGACCAGAATTTAGGGAGAAGGAAAGAGAAGAGGATGAAGTCGGGTGTAAGCAGGCAACCCCACTAATGAATGGATGAACTCTCTTTCTTCTGTGTGCTTCTGTGAGATTTATCAGAGAACCAATAGTTACCCTGGCTGTAGGTAGATTTGTCTCTGTCTGAGCTATTGTGTCACTTTATGACCGTAGAATGAAGATAACCTTACCCCCAAGTATTTAAAAACTTTTTAGAGACAGGGTCTTCTCACTTTGTCACCTAGACTGGAGTGCAGTGGCACAATCATAGCTCACTGCAGCCTCGAACTCCTGGGCTTAAGCCATCCTCCTGCCTCAGCCTCTCAAGAGTAGCTGGGATCGCAGGTGCATACCACCTTGCCCAGCTAATTTGTTTTACGTGTTTTTCTATAGAGACGGGTTCTCGTTATGTTGCCCAGCCTAGTGTGGAACTCCTGGCTTCAAGCAATCCTCCTGCCTCAGCCTTCCAAAGTGTTGGGGTTATAGGCATGAGCCACTGCGTCCAGCCACCTCTCAAGTATTTTAAAGCCAGTGTTCTCATGTGGCTTAATGATTTTATTTTTATTTATTTATTTTGAGACAGAGTCTCGCTCTGTCGCCCAGGCTGGAGTGCAGTGGCGCAATTTCAACTAATTGCAACGGGCATTCCCTGGGTTTAAGCAGTTCTCTGTCTCAGCCTCCCAAGTAGCTGGGATTATAGGCGCCCACCACCATGATAATTTTTGTATTTTTAGTAGAGACGGGGTTTCATCATCTTGGCCGGGCTGGTCTTGAGCTCTTGACCTTGTGATTCACCAGCCTCAGCCTTCCAAAGTGCTGGAATTACAGGCGTGAGCAACTGCGCCTGGCCTGACTTAACGATTTCATAGCGCTCTTGGATTCACCTCCATTCCTGTTACTTGAACCACTTACTTCGTAAACTGCTCCATGAAGCGGTCCCGGTGGCCTTGCAGGGTGTCAGCAGGGAGGCCTGGAAGAAATTGGAAAGAGTATGAGAGGGAAGGAAGACCAGAGGGCAGGGAAGCCACAGCGGGGCTCTGGAGGGGAGGGGCCCAGCCATCCCGGGCATGCGGCCAGCACTGCCAGGGGCCACGGCTGGCCTAGAGCCGTCCCGAGGTCTGGTAACCAAGGGAGCCCAGCAGGAACCAGCAGGAGTGTGGAGATGCTTATCCTCCAAATCCTTCCACCTCGGTGAGTTCCTGAAGGACAAGTCATGCCGGGCACAATAGGGTGGAAATTGTGTCCCAGACTAGAGAAGCAACGGTGACCTGACCCAGCAGGACCGTGGCAGGTGCAGGAGGGAGCAGTTCTTTCTCAGGTATTGCCTGCATTTGTTTTATACTGAGGCTCAGGGCTGGTATTAGTCTGGAAGAGATCCATAGAGCCTGCCCCAGAGGATGGCTGTCAGAAGGCAAAGAACAAGGGATTGAAGGCCGGGTGCGGTGGCTCACACCTGTAATCCCAGCCCTTTGGGAGACCAAGGCGGGAGGATCACTTGAGGTCAGGATTTCAAGACCAGGCTGGCCAACATGGTGAAACCCTGCCTCTTCTAAAAATACAGAAATTAGCTGGGTATGAGTGGCAGGCGCCTGGAATCCCAGCTACTCCAGAGGCTGAGGCAGGAGAATCACTTCAACCAGGGAGGCGGAGGTTGCAGTGAGCTGAGATTGCACCACTGCACTTTTAGTACTTTTTGACAGCAAGACTCTGCCAAAAAAAAGAACAAGGGGCTGGGCATGGTGGTTGATGCCTGTAATTCCAGCACTTTGGGAGGCCTAGGCAGGCAGATCACGAGGTCAGGAGATCAATACCATCCTGGCTAACATGGTGAAACCTCATCTCTACTAAAAAATACAAAAAATTAGCTGGGCATGGTGGCATGCGCTTGTAGTCCCAGCTACTACAGAGGCTGAGGCAGGAGAATCACTTGAATCTGGGAGGCAGAGGTTGCGGTGAGCCGAGATTGCACCACTGCACTCTAGCCCAGGCGACAGAGACTTGATCTCAAAACAACAACAACAGGGCTGGGCATGGTGGCTCACGCCTGTAATCCTAGCACTTTGGGAGGCTGAGGTGGGTGGATCACCTGAGGTCAGGAGTTCAAGACCAGCTGGGCCATCATGGTGAAACCCCATCTTAAAAGAAAAGAAAAGAAAAGAAAAGAAAAGAAAAGACAACAACAATAACAACAACAATAACAAAAAAACCAAAAGGATTGAGGCTTGGGATCTGAGTTCCAGTCCCGGCTTGGTCGGTAGCTAACTCTGTGACACTGTACACGCGGTGGCCTCTTAGGGCAGCCTCCTCCTCTACAGAGCAGATTCTCTGAGGGCCTGTCACCTCTCAGATGTGCGAATTTGCATATTTCGGCTATAGATCCACGGCTTGGCAATCCTTTTAGTGTTTGCTTTATTTGTTTAAATTTAAATTTGTTATTTTGAAATGGGTCATACATTCATTAGATAAAATCAGGGAACACATGTATAAAACATGATTATCGAAATGGCAAAAGATGGCTGGGCGCAATGGCTCCCACGCGTAATCCCAGCACTTTGGGAGGCTGAGCGGGGAGGATCGCTTGTACCCAGGAGTTTGAGACCAGCCTGGGCAACACAGTGAGACCCCTATCTCTAGAAAAATTAAAAAATAAAAGTTAGCCAGGTGTGGTGGTGTGTACTGGGGTCCTAGCTACTCCAGAGGTTGAGGTGGGAAGATCTTTTGGCCCAGGAATTTGAGGCCGTAGTCAGCTGTGATTGTACCACTGCATTCCAGCCTGGGTGACAGAGCAAGGCCCGATTATAAAAAAAAAAAAAAAGAAAGAAAAAACCCAACGAAAACAAAAACAGGATGGCAAAAGTGGACCGTGAATGAATATGGCACTTGACCTAAATGATCTTTCCCCCAAGAACCCTTAACCCCAGTTAAACCAAGAGAAAAACATCAGGCAAACAGAACCCGGGAACATCATGCCGAAAACCCAACACTGTCAGTCATCAGCAACGAGGGACGTCTGAGAAATGAAACATCATTGCCAAGAGGAACCTAAGGAGACACCACAACTGAATGTCACATGGTGTCACATGGTGTACTGGATGAGATTCTGGGACAGAAGAGGACATTTGGCAAAAACTGTGACAGTCCAAATAAAGTACAGACTTTGATAGTAAAGTATCAACGCTGCTTCATTAGTTGTGACAAACGTTTCATACGAACATATGAATACGTGGAAAACAGTACTGGGTATACGAGAACTCTCGTTACTATTTTTATAACTTTTCCATAGACCTAAAACAAAAATAAATGTTTATTTTTAGAAAAGAGGGCTGGGTGCAGTGGCTCACACCCATAATCCCAGCACTTTGGGAAGCCGAGGCGGGAGGACCACTTGAGCTCAGGAATTCAAGACTGGCCTGGCCAACATGGAGAAACCCTGTCTCTACTAAAAACAATACAAAAATTAGGCAGGTGTGGTGGCGGGCACCTGTAATCCCAGCTACTCGGGAGGCTGAGGCAGGAGAATGGCTTGAACCCGGGAGCTGGAGGTTGCAATGGGCTGAGCTCGTGCCATGACACTCCAGCTTGGATGACAGAGTGAGACCCTGTCTCAAAAAAAAGTATATATTGTAGAGAGCATCCCTCCTACCCCTTCCCCAGCCCAGAGGCAATTAGTGTGGGTCTTGGGTATTCCCTGCCTTCAAAGAAGGCCTTTAAACCCAAACACTTAATTACCTGTCTCTTCTCATAACTCTCTCAGCCTCCGGGGTAGCTGGACCTACAGGTGTGCATCACCACACCCTCATTTTACAAAAAGGCAGTGGTGACATTCTAGTGGCGACGTTCTACTGAGCAACAGTGTTCTTGGAAATAATGAGACGTTTCCATTGAAAACAATGAAAAGTTCATCTGTATTCAGTGCTCTAAGTAGCTGGTCCCTTCTCTTGGAGGCCCACTGCACCCTCTCAGCTCCCTTCTGGCAGGCTGACTTGCTAAGCCTTTCTAATCCTTGGGCAGCTAATTCCAATCTCCCTTCCACAAAACCATCCCAGATTAATTTGAGCGATGCTACTTCCTTCCCTTGTACTGTCTAAATAATGAGATTCACTACATGTCAATGACGACAGTTACAGAGTATACTGTCTTATACTACTATTTTTTTTTTTTTTTGAGGCAGGGTCTTGCTGTGTCACTCAGGCTGGAGTGCATAAACATGGCTCCCTGTAGCCTTGACCTCCGGGGCTCAAGCAATCCTCCAGCCTTAGCCTCCTGGGTAGCTGGGACTATAGGTGCATGTTACCATGCCTGGCTAATTTTTGTATTTTTTTGTAGAGACAGGGGTTTCGCTATGTTGCTCGGGCTGATCTCCAGCCCCTGAGCTCAAGAGATCTGCCTGTATCAGCCTCCCAAAATGATGGGATTACAGGTGTGAGCCACTGTGCCTGGTCCAGACACATCATTTTAAACCAGAAGCACACAAAAGTGTAAGAACTGGCTGGGTGCGGTGGGTCACACCCTGTAATCCTAGCACTTCAGGAGGCTGAGGTGGGCGGATCACTTGAGACTAGGAGTTTGAGACCAACCTGGTCAACATGGGGAAACCCCATCTCTACCAAAAATTCAAAAAACAAACAAAAATTAGCTGGGTGTGGTAGCACACACCTGTGGTCCCAGCTTCTTGGGAGGCTAAGGCACAAGAATCGCTTGAACCCGGTAGGCAGAGGTTGCAGTGAGCTGAGATCACACCACTGTACTGCAGACTGGGTGAGAGAGTGAGACTCTGTCTCAAATAAAAAGGTGTAAGAACTTCTGCAAGACCAGAACCTCCAAACTATCTATATTCTGCTAAGGGCACCCCAGGGAACTAAAGCGAGGTGAGGGTTAGGTCTCCATTTAATGAGCAGCTGTGCTTTATAATTTATATTTCTCCATAAAATTCCATTTGCACAAAGGGATCGTGTGGATCAATGGTCTGGAAATCATGACGTTAGCTCATGCAGGTCTAGGCCGGGTCTGCTGTTAATTGTGTGGTTCCTAGGATACACGTGCTGAAGCTAGAGGCAGACAGAGAGGACCTGGTGATGGCAGCCACCAGTCCAGGTGGCCTGCCACTGCCATCATGCCCGCTGAAGCAGGGAGGCATGGCCAAGGCTGCATACTCCATGGGGCAGGCAGAAGCCTCTCCCCCTCTGGGTGGGGCTGTAGCCGCCCAAGTTGTGGCTGCAGATCTGAGCCTCTCCGGGGGGCCGGGAGCAGGCAGGAACCCTGCCCTCCCGGGTGCAGCTGCAGCTGCAGACCAGGGCCTCCTGCTCCCTGGAGCAGGCAGCAGCCCCGCCACCCCACACCCACCCACAAGCCCAGCTGCAGACTCAGGCATCCCTGTACTCTTCTGGGCCTGGGAAGGCTCTCCTTCCCCTTACAGACCCAGAAGAGCCTTCTCCCACTGCCTGGCTTCTTTTCCCTCCTGTCAGCACCCACTCCGATCTTAGAGTAAAGTTGGGGCTAAACCCTGGTGCCATGAATGGCAGCGGGAGGCAGAGAGATTCCTGGGTGGAAGCAGCAGGTCCCCAGTGGGGGCTGGGCTGCCAGTCCCACAGACTGAAATGGGAATTTATGGTGCTTTTTCTGGGTCTGCCCATGGACCAGTGGGGGTGCATTTGGTCTCCTCTGAGGCTCATAAAAGCCCTGAGCTCAGCCACAGCTAAGCAGAGATGGACGACCAGTTATAAAGAGGAGCGACCCTCTCTGCTGAGGGCTTCAGAGACCTGCAGAAACGCCAGGACGACCAGCTGCAGAGAGGAGCTACTCACTGTGTGTTCTCTTTTCTGCTGAGAGCTGAACACTCTGCCTTCAGAGAGGGCTACCCACTGCGGTCTCCTCTGAGCTGTTCTAATACTCAGTAACACTCCTCTTCGCCTCGTCCACCCTCCGCTTGTCTGCATACCTCATTCTTCCTGAATGCAGAGCAAGAGCTCAGGCAAAGGCGCCACTAGCCACAGGTTTCCAGCCAGGAAATCAACACCCTAAAGATCCCGTAACACACTGGGACACAACAGTGGCAAGCCAGGTGCTTTCCTGGACACACCAAAGCCCTGGCGCCGCTCTTGCATCCTCACAATGGTCAGGAGCTCTGGGGCCTTTTGGAACACAAGGAGATACAGCCAAAGGCACTGAGAAGGGCTGCATTTCTCCAGGAACATCCTCAGGCTGGGATCCCCTCTCTGGCCTGAATCTCATGTAAGATCTGGCCTGCGGTACTCACAGGAGTGGAGTTTGAAGAGAAGCTTGACAGTGTAGTCATAAAGGTGGCTGCAGTCCAATATGACCTGGATCAGCGGGGCAAGACGGCACTGCCCTGCTGTCGTCACGGACACAGAGCGGGACATGTCCAAGGAGTTGAACACTAGGAAATAAAAGTGAGGGAGAAAGGTGGTGGGGCCAGGAAATGACAGGCAATCTCTATGGAGGGCAGAGGCAGGGGTCTAACATATACCAAGGACTGATTCTGCACAGGCTTTACCTCATCTAATTCATTTAACTCTGACATCACTCCCCTGAGATAGGTAAACGTATCTGCATTAGACAGGTGAAGAAACAAAAGGTAAGTAACCTGAAGGCCGTCACAAGGTCAAGAAGTGGTTTTGGTTGGGTGCGGTGGCTCATGCCTGTAATCCCAGCACTTTAGGAGGCTGAGGTGGGCGGATCACGTGAGGTCAGGGTTGAGACTAGCCTCTCCAACATGGGAAAACCCTGTCTCTACTAAAAACACAAAAATTAGCTAGGCATGGTGGTGCATGCCTGTAATCCCAGCTACTCAGGAGGCTGAGGCAGGAGAATCACTTGAACCCAGGAGGCGGAGGTTGCAGTGAGCTGAGATTTCGCTACTGCGCTCCAGCCTGAAAGACAGAGCAAGACTCCATCTCAAAAAAAAAAAAAAAAAAACAAGAAAGATAAGACAAAGGGCTTGGGAGAAGGAAGACATGTCAGGATCCAAGGCTGAAGCTCGGGACCCCGATCAACAAAAGCAGAAGTCCTGCCTTCACCCTCCTGAGTTTCAGAGACGAAGCTGCTCCATCAATTTCTCGCTCTGGGACTCCCTCCACATCCACCCTCTACCCCCATCCTAGACCAAGCAACTGGCCTCCTGGCTGCAGACACAGCGCACTCCACTGCCCAGGGCTGACTTTCCTTCTTGCACTGGCCACCCACTGCCTCTGCAGACTCTGCACGCGGCGGGCAATGAAATGACCCTCCCCGCGGTCCCTCTGTGAGCGGAGCTGGCCCAGAGGGAAGCCCAGGGCTGCGTGTGTTCCGTTTCCCCTGACTGCACTAATCCCTGGTAACTGGGTTAGTCTGGCAGCTGAAAAAAATAAAAATAAAAATCCCAAACTGTTCTAATTAAAAGGCAGCTTTTCTTCTTGACACAAATTAAAAGCAGCTGTCACTGCAAGGCAGCCATCCCCAAGTCTACCGGCTTCCTCACGCTCCGACTGGCAGGAACCCCCCAGCCTGTTCCATCTCCCTGCCTGCCCTCGATTCCCAGTGCCTTCCAGGAATGCCCTTCGGTCCCCTGGAACAGCTAAAGCGGTGTCACCGTGGACAAGATACTCAGCCCCTCTGTGTCCCCAGAAGCTCTTCTGTAGGGCACACGCAGCTGTAACAGTGCATACCTTGTAAGGGTCTCCTAAGACTTCAGTAAGAATGCTGTGAAAAGTGCACGGGATCGTGCGGTGGTTCTTGACTTTGGCTTTGAGATTGAGGAGACTGAAAAACTAATGTCCTCCTGCAATGCCCAGAACCGCCGCCAGCCCCCCGTTTCAACTGGTCTGCGGTATGTTGGGATATCCCTGTGTTTCAAAAGCCTCCCCCTGCTGTCCCCCATGAGGCCAGGCACCGTGGCTCATGCCTACAATCCCAGCACTTTGGGAGGCTGAGGTGGGTGGACTGTTCGAGGTCAAGAGTTCCAGGCCAGCCTGGCCAACATGGCAAAACCACGTCTCTACTAAAAATACAAAAATTGGCTGGGTGTGGTGGCAGTCACCTGTAGTCCCAGCTACTCCGGAGGATGAGGCATGAGAATTGCTTGAAGCCAGGAGGCGGAGGTTGCAGTGAACTGAGATTGCACCACTGCACTCCAGCCTGGGCAAGAGCGAGGCTGTGTTTCGGAAAAAAAAAAAAGCCACCAGGTAGATTCCAATCTGGATCCAGGGTTGAAAACTATATGTTCAAACTCAGTGGTTGCCAGATTTTAGCACGCATCAGAATTGCCTGCAACAGTGCTATCCAATAGAATGCTGCAATTACGCAAATGGTCACATAAACCTTCTAATATGTTAGCCATATGTGGCTACCTGAAATATGCCTAGTGCAGCCGAGGACCTGACTTTAAAATGTTATTTAACTGTAATCAAGTTCAGTGATCACGTGGGGCTAGTGAGTACCCTGCTAGACAGTGCACATCGGGGGTGCTTCTTAAAACACAGGAGGCTGGGCATGGTGACTCATGCTTATAATCCCAGCACTTTGGGAGGCTGAGGTGGAAGGATCACTTGAGCTCAGGAGTTCGAGACCAGCCTAGTAATATAGCAAGACCCTATCTCTACAAAAAAATTTAAAAATTAGCCGGATGTGGTGGCGTACACCCATGGTCCCAGCTACTCAGGAGGCTGAGGCAAGAGGATCACTTGAGCCTGAGAGGTCAAGGCTGCAGTGAGCTACTGTGCCATACCACAGTACAGTAGCCTGGGCGACAGAGCAACACCCCATGTCAAAAAAAAAAAAAAAAAAAAGAGAGAGAGAGAGATAAGAAAAACAGCAGTGATGAAATAGGTAAACAGTTCATTAAACAGAAACAGTGAAACTTCCAGCTGCATGCTCTGGGAATCTCTAAGGTGAATTACTCAGTCTTTTGGAGCAGAGCTACCTGTATTGAACTCCTGGATTCAAGCACCCTTCCCACCTTAGCCTCCTAAAGTGCTGGGTTTATAGGCGTGAGCCACACCCCACCTGGCCGCCTGCTGTTTTCCAAAAAGCAATTGTTCTTTTATTGCTGAGTGCCTGCTATTCACCAGGCACTGGGCTAGAACACAGAGAACTGAAAGATGAGTAGGTCATGGTTCCTCATTTTAAGGAAGAGCTCAGCATCTCGTGGTAATAATATTAGTGAACAATGCATATAAAACCAGAGCAGGCTGGGCACGGTAGCTCATGGGAGGCCATGGCAGGCAGATCACTTGAGGCCAGGTGTTCGAGATCAGCCTGGCTAACATGGTGAAACCCCATCTCTACTAAAAACACAAAACATAGCTGGGAGTGGTGGCATGTGCCTATAATCCCAGCTACTTGGGAGACTGAGGCAGGAGAATTGCTTGAACCTGGGAGGTAGAGGTTGCAGTGAGCTGAGATGGTGCCACTCACTGCACTCCAGCCTGGGTGATGGAGCAAAATTCCATCTCAAAAAACAAAAACAAAAACAAAACACAAAAAACCAGAGCTAGGGTTCATGAGATGTGGCACAAAAAAGATGGCTGAGCTCACCACCTGCACTCCTCACTCATTCTCTCAGCTAATCAAGTACTCTTTTTTTTTTTTTTTTTAAATATGGGGTTTCACCATAGTGGTCAGGCTGGTCTCGAACTTCTGACCTCAGGTGATCCACCCACCTCAGTCTCCCAAAGTGCTGGGATTACAGGCGTGAGCCGCCACGTCTGGCTAATCAAGTCCCCTTGAGCCTCATCACCATCTCCACTTATTCATGGTCCATCGTCTATCAGGAACTGGAAGGACCACCCAAGGTAGTCTTCCCTAAACACCACAGCAGCGGCAGGCAGACCGCCAGCCCCAAGGAGAGGCGAAGGCCATGGGGAGAGAGCTTGGAGCAGCTGAAGTGCAAACTCCTAGGCTGCACTTTCCCGGAGGATGACAATTCCAAACATCTCACTCATGCCTGCATTCAGATCTAGCGTATTCCAAAGCTAAATGCAGGCTGGGTGCGGTGGCTTATGCCTGTAATCCCTGCACTTTGGGAGGACCAGGCAGGCAGATTGCTTGAGCTCAGAAATTTGAGAGCAACATAGTGAAGCCCCGTCTCTACAAAAAGTACAAAAAAATTAGCTGGGCACGGTGGTACGCGCCTGCAGTCCCGGCTACTTGGGAGGCTGAGGTGGGAGGATGGCTTGAGCCCCAGAAGCAGAGGCTGCAGTGAGCTGAGATTGCACCACTGCATTCCAGCTTGGGTGACAAAGCCAGACTGTCTCAAAAGAAACAAACAAACAGAAAATAAATGAAAGCTAAATGCAAATGAATTCTGAATTATCCACCTATGTTGTTCCTACCCAAATCCTGGCGATGAAAAGCTAGCCACAACAACGTATACTTGTTCATACACTTTCATGCAAACATTTCCAATGCCTTTATTTTTCAAGATGGAGTCTTGCTCTGTTGCCCAGGCCAGAGTGCAGTGGTGCAATGTCTGACCACTGCAACCTCCACTCAGTGCAACTTCTGTCTCCCGGGTTCGAGCAATTCTCTTAGCTCAGCCACCTGAGTAGCTGGGATTACAGGCACACAGCACCACACCTGGCTAATTTTTGTACTTTCAGTAGAGATGAGTTTCACCATGTTGGCTAAGCTGGTCTCGAACTCTTGACCTCATCATGATCCACCTGCCTCGGCCTCCCAACGTGCTAGGATTACAGGCGTGAGCCACCTTGTCTGGCCCCAATACATTAAAAAAAAAAAAGCATATACATCACTTCTTTCAATCGGACTGGGAGCAGCTTAGGGCACAGACTGGATTCTGTTTCATTTTTATTTCTCCACTGACTTTTGTGCTGGAGCTGCTGAGCCCTGCTCAAATAACTTCCTAGTCAGCCGAGTATCCCTTTCTCCCACAGACCGACGTTTCCAGCTGTTTCTGGTGTTTGTCTTTCTTTCTTTTTTTTTTTTGAGACAGAATCTTGCTCGTCACCCAGGCTGAAGTGCAGTGGTGTGACCTTGGCTTACAATCTCTGCCTCCCAGGTTCAAGCGATCCTCCTGCCTCAGACTCCAAAGTAGCTGGGATTACAGGCATGCGCCACCACGCCCGGCTAATTTTTGTATTTTCAGTAGAGATGGGGTTATGTTAGGCCAGGCTGGTCTCGAACTCCTGACCTCAGGTGATCCGCCCACCTCGACCTCCCAAAGTGCTGGGATTACAGGCGTGAGCCACTGCGCCCGGCCTATTTCTGGTGTTTTTCTGACCCCATCCTGTGCTGAAAACTGGTCAATATATCATGGAATTTGTCGCCCTGTCCCAGCCATAGTACGACACAAAACAGAACATTCTGGAAAAGAAGCCAGTAGCAGGCATATCTGCACCGATGAACATGCTGAAGGAAGCTGAAATTCGGGGCAAGAGAGTCCAAGCCCCATGAGTGAGCCCTGCGGGTCCACATGCAGGGAAGCCCGCCAGGCTTGCGCATGAGACCGCCAAGCTTGCACATGGAGACCTGCAATGCGGAACATCCTCTTTCAGTTGGATGCCTGTTGCAGAGCGTGCTGAGTCTCAGAACACTGGGCTTACGTCCCCCAGCGAAGGGAGGGGAGCCTGCTGGGAGGTGTGGGGAGGAGACACGCTGGAGAGAAGGGGACCAGCTGAGGCTTGTCAGGGAAGTGTTAGAGGTCTGCAGGCACCACAATTCTTGGCAGACGGGAGCCTGGAAGTGTGGCCAACTCCCCCCCACTCAGGAACAGGGCTCTGTGCGCTTCTCCTGTGGACTTGGGTGACAACCAGTCCTGACGAGCTTGTTCCCATGGCTGCCAACTCAAGAACAGACATGAGCCCTTCCTCCTCAGCAGAAATGGGGCCCGTGAGCCAGCCCAGCTCTGAGTGGCAGACAGGACCAGACCAAGGGCTGTGCAGGGCCGTGGCCCCGGTCCAGGGGCTAGCAAAGCGGTAAGTCCTGTCTTTGGGATTTTGGAGGCCCGCGCTTCAGGAGGGAGGCCAGCAGGAAGGGCAGTGTGTGGTCTTTCTGCTCAAACGTGAAACCACCCACTTTGAAAATACCTAGGCGACCAAATGTGGTAGCTCAGGCCTGTCATCCCAGGACTTTGGGAGGCTGAGTCAGGAAGATACCTTGAGGGCAAGAGTTCAAGACCAGCCTGGGCAATACAGTGAGACCCCCATCTCTTCAAAAAATATTAAAAAATCAGCCAGATGTGGTGGTGTGTGCCTGTAGTCCCAGCTGCTTAGAAGGCTGAGGTGAGAGGATGGCTTGTTGGAGGCTGCAGTGTGCCATAACACGCCCAGCCTGGGTGACGAAGCAAGACCTTCTCTCTCTCTCTCTCTCTCTCTCTCTCTCTTTCAAGATGTAGTCTTGCTATGTCTCCCAGGCTGGAGTGCAATGGTGCAATCTTGGCTCATTCCAACCGCCACCTCCTGGGTTCAAGCAATTCTCCTGCCTCAGCCTCTCAAGTAACTAGGATTACAGGCATGCCCCACCATGCCCAGCTAATTTTTGAATTTTTAGTAGAGTCGGGGTTTCACCATGTTGGCCAGGCTGGTCTTGAACTTCTGACCTCAAGTGATCCACCCTCTTCAGCCTCCCAAAGTGCTGGGCTGACAGGCGTGAGCCACTGTGCCTGGCAGAGACCTTTCTATTATAAAGACACATGTACATGTATGTTTACTGTGGCACTGTTCACAATAGCCAAGACCTGGAACCAACCCAAATGCCCATCAATGATCGACTGGATAAAGAAAATGTGGCACATATACACCATGGAATACTATGCAGCCATAAAAAATGATGAGTTCATGTCCTTTGCAAGGACATATATGAAACCGGAACCCATCATTCTCAGCAAACTGTCACAGGAACAGAAAACCAAACACTGCATGTTCTCACTCATAAGCAGGTACTGAACGATCAGAACACAGGGACACAGGGAGGGGAACATCACACACCGGGACCTGTTGCGGGGTGGAGGGCTACGGGAGGGATATTAGGAGAAATACCTAATGTAGATGATGGGTTGATGGGTGCAGCAAACCACCATGGCACATGTATACCTGTGTAATAAGCCTGCACATTCTACATGTGTGTCCCAGAACTTAAAATATAATTAAAGAAAAAATACCAAAGAGCTTCAGTCCCTCCCTGCAGAGGAATGGCGAGCCCAGAGATGGGGTGTCAATGTCCGTATTTTTCTACCCCTTGTGCTCACACCTTTCAGGGAGGGGAGGATTGGGAGTTGGGCGGTTCCCATGAGTCTGGGTTAGACGGGAGGGAAGAGACTCACCCGTTTGGAAGAGGCTGAGTTCACACTCCAGATAGTCAAACATCTCCACTGTTAACTGGAAACTGGACCCAAGAGGAAAGAGAGCTTACCCTCCACAGCCTGAGGCTGGTCTGTTACTCGTCCCCTCCCCGATGCTCTACACTGCTGCCTCTGGTCCCCCACGCTCACGTGCGTGCACGAACATACACAACTCCAGCTCCAAGTCTAAGCCCCATGGTTACTATGGCCATTTGCAAGTGCAGGCTGGTGAAGAGTCAACAGTAACATCGACAGGTCAGGTGTGGTGGCTCACAACTGTAATTCCGGAACTTTGGGAGGCCAAGGTGGGTGGATCACCTGAGGTCAGGAGTTCGAGATCAGCCTGGCCAACATGGTGAAAACCCATCTCTACTAAAAATACAAAAATTACCTGGGCGTGGTGGCAGGCACCTGTAATCCCAGCTACTCGGAGAATCACTTGAACCCGGAGGTGAAGGGGCAGTCAGCCAAGATTGTCCCACTGCACGCCAGCCTGGGTGACAGAGTAAGACTCCCTCTCAAAAAGAAAAGAAAAAGTGACAGTGACAGAGGAAGAGGATAGGTACCAGTGTTGGAGTCGGAGGGCTGAAAGTGAGACAGACAGGAAAGCTTTGGGGTGTGAAACAGCCAGGCAGGGGTTCTGGATGAGGCACCACCAATAAATAAGTGGCCCCAAGGCCAAGTCACCTGGGGGCTTTGGTGCCCACCCCAGCCAAGGCCCCTCCCACCAGGCCCTCAGTAACCCATATAAGAAGCGACAGCATCCACAAAAGCTTTCTCCCTCCCTGGGCTCAGGGCAGGTGCCACTTACAAGTTGTTCACGTCACTCTCTCCAGCCTCATCCAGCTGTCGGTCACTCATCTGCAGGTTGCCTGGGAACCTGGGATTCTGGAAAGGAGGCAGAAGGATCAGGGCAGGGCACATAAAGAGCTCTCTTTCAGCCTGGCGTGGTGGCACACACCTGCGGTCCCTGCTACTTGGGAGGCCCGGGCGGGAGGATGGCTTGAGCCCAGGAGTTTAAGGCTACAGTTCAAGGCTGCTGTACTCCAGCTGGCTACAGAGAGACCCTACCTCAAAACAAGAAAAAAAGAAAAACTAGCTGGTGTCATCAATCATTGCTCAGTATCTACAGCATGATCCTGTCATTTGTGTGTTTGTCCCTGTGGCAAAGGGAAAAGGCCACAGAGATGGGTGGCCATTCCATCGTGGGAATTCTACATGTACAAGTGAATACCTTAGGTTCTAGGCCAGGCGCGGTGGCTCCTGCCTGTAATCCCAGGCCTCCCTTTGGAGGCCAAGCTGGGCAGATCACTTGAGGTCAGGAGTTGGAGACCAGCCTGGCCAACATGGTGAAACCCCATCTCTACTAAAAATAAAAAAATTAGCCAAGCCTGATGGCGCACGCCTGTAATTCCAGCTGCTCAGGAGGCTGAGACACAAGAATCTCTTGAACCCAGGGGCAGAGGTTGCAGTGAGCCAAGATTGCACCACTGCACTCTAGCTTGGGCAACAGAGGAAGATTCTGTCTCAAAATAAATAAATAAATAAATAAATCTTTCATTTTTTAAAGTTTTTGAGACAGAGTCTCACCCTGTTGCCCAGGCGTAATCTCGGCTCACTGCAACTTCCACCTCTGGGTTCAAGCAATTCTCCTGCCTCGGCCTCCCAGGTAACTGGGATTATAGGCATGCGCCACCAGGCCTGGCTAATCTGTGTATTTTTAGTAGAGATGGGGTTTCACCATGTTGGCTAGGCTGGTCTCAAACTCCTAAGCTCAAGCGATCCACTGGCCTCAGCCTCCCAAAGTGCTGAGATTATAAATAAATAAATCTAAAAAAATTAAATAAAATGAGATGGGGTGTTGCTATGTTGCTCAGACTGGTCTTGAACTCCTGGCCTCAAGGGATCCTCCCACCTTAGCTGCCCAAAGTGCTAGGATTACAGGCATCAGTCACCATTGTGCCCTGCTGCCAGTTTCTCCATTCCACATCACCACGGCTCTTGCTTGCTGTTTCATTTGATTTGATCATTTCCCCCTTTTTATCTCCTCATCAATGAAGATAAGCATCTCCTGGTCCCTACCTGGCATTCGCCCAAGTCTCTGGCACCCGGGACACAGTTTTCCTTTGCACCAAGTCATGCACCCTGAGATTACAACCTCTGACCTCCTTAATTTCAGTACTTTCACCTTGACTCCACCCCAAGCTATGTGCATCCATTCTGGACTCTGCTATCATCTAAAACATCCCTGCCTAGAACTCTCCACTCCAGCGTCTCCCTCTCTGGCTGCATCACCCAGGCCTCTGCCCTTACAGTCCTCTTCTGCCCTCAGATCCACCCACTACTCAAGCTCCTCTGTCTCAGACATGGCCAGTCCCCTCCCGCTCCCTCTCCTCCGCATCTCTCTGCCTGCATTTGCTTCTTGGCTCAGTCTGGAGATCATGACTGGTGGCCTGGCTCCACTCCCCCACCCCCTGCCTGCCTTTCCACCACACTGCTTCAAGGACCTGCTGAGCCTGGGTCCTTGTCATGGGCTCTGCACCTAGGGCCAGCTGCCAACGGTCCCTGGAAAAGGACTCACAGCTGGTGTCACTGTGCATTTACGCTCTCCAGCCTGAACATCCGTCTGTCGGCTCGGGCAGCTATAACAAGATACCACACACTGGGTGGCTTAAACCACAGAGAGTGTCTCGCAGTTCTGGCAGCTGGGGAGTCCAAGGTCAAGGTGTTGACAGACTTCGTCCCTGGAGGAGGGGCCTCATCCTGGTTACATCGCTTACATGGCAGAGGAGGGGGAACAACTCTCTCCTGTTTCTCTCTCGTTTTATTTTTTAGAGACAGGGCCTCACTCACCATGCTGGAGTGCAGTGGTGTGATAATCACTCACCGCAGCCTCCAGTTCCTGGGCTCAAGCGATCCTCCACCTTAGCCTCCTAAGTAGCTGGGACTACAGGCGTACACCACCATACCAGGCTAATTTGTTTTTGTTTTTTGTATTTTTAGTAGAGACGGCATTTTGCCATGTTGGCCAGGCTGATTTTGAACTCCTGACCTCAGATGATCCGCTCGCCTCAGCCTCCCAAAGTCCTGGGATTATAGGCATGAGCTACCGCTCCTGGCCAGAGAATGAATTTTTCTTTAATGTGTGTGGGAGTTTTTCTGGTTGTTTTCAAGATGGAGTCTTACTCTGTCACCCAGGCTAAAGTGCAGTGGCATGATCTCAGCTCACTGCAACCTCAGCCTCCTGGGTTCAAGCGATTCTCCTGCCTCTCAGCCTCCTGAGTAACTGGGATTAACAGGTGCCCACCACCATGCCCAGCTAATGTTTTAGTATTTTTAGTAGAGACAGGTTTCACCATGTTGCCCCTGTTGGTCTTGAACTCCTGACTTCAGGTAATCCACTCGCCTAAGCCTCCCAAAGTGCTGAGATTATAGGCTGAGCCACCACACCCAGCCTAACTGAAAAAAAAAATTCTTTTTAGAGATGGGGTCTCGCTATGTTGCCCAAGGTGGTCTCACCTCAAGCCTCGGCCTCCCCAAATGCTGGGATTGCAGGTGTGAGCCACTGCACCCAGCCTGCTTCTCTGCTCTTGTATTGCTAATTGATAAAAACTGGAAAAGTCCTTTGCTCCTCCACACTTAGACAACACCAGCTTCCCCATTTTCCCTGCTTTCTAAAACCAGGAAAAACAAGAGAGCAGTGAGCTCCAGAGCCTTTGGAAGCAAAGCCAGTTGCATCCTCATTCGACCCCAATTCTTGAAGCCCACGTGACCATTCCCTTCTGCCCTTCCACATGATTAAAAGCTAAAGGCCTGGCTATTGGCACTGGCTGTTTCTGATGCCACTGAACTCTGCTCTCTTCCTATACACAAGGAAAGGGGCCCTCCCTCTCTATCACCCCCGCAGTGCTGCTGCCCCAGCTCCCACCCCACTCCCCTTCCTCTCTAACCTTCTTCTCAGCCTTGCTGCTTTCTACACTCCCTCCCTTCTCTCCTTTTCCACCTAAAATCCTACCGTAGGCTCTTCCTCCTTCCACTTCTCATTTAATAGTTTTCTTTTTTTGAGACAGAGTCTTGCTCTATAGCTCAGGCTGGAGTGCAGTGGCACCATCTCAGCTCACTGCAACCTCCGCCTCCTGGGTTCAAGCCATTCTCAAGCCTCAGCCTCCGGAGTGGCTGGGATTACAGGCATGCACCACCATGCCCAGCTAATTTTTGTATTTTTTGTAGAGACAGCGTTTTGCCATGTTGGCCAGGCTGGCCTCTAACACCTGACCTCAGGTGATTCACCCACCTGGGCCTTCCAAAGTGCTGGGATTACAGGTGTGAGCCACTGCGCCCGGCCGGTTGCTCTTTCTAGTTGCAAAATGGGGAACAGAGAGTGCAGAAGACACAGGCCAAAATCCCAGCCCTCATCACGCCCCAGGGGCCTGGCGACGGCTTTCCTCTCCTACAGCTGGGGTACAGGATTCCCACACTTCCCCAGAAACCCGGGCAGTCTATTACCCGAAAGATCTGAGAACCGAGCCCCAGGAGGTGCTGAGGGCTATGGAGCAGGGGAGGCGGCGGGGACAGGAGAACTGTCCGCAGAGACTTACTTTGGTGTGGTACTCCATCTTCGTTCTCAGCAGTTTCAGGTAGATGCTGCACAGCTGGCCGTACCCCTCACTCAGGTGGCCCTTTCAGGAAGAGGAGAGGAAGAAGAGTCAACAGTAAGAACACGAGAATCGAGAGATCTGCAGCCACAAAGGCTTTTTTTTTTTTTGAGATGGAGTCTCACTCTGTTGCCCAGGCTGGGTGCAGTGGTGTGATCTCAGCTCACTGCAACCTCCGCCTCCCATGTTCAGGCAATTCTCCTGCCTCAACCTCCTGAGTAGCTAGGATTACAGGCATGTGCCACTATGCCCAGCTAATTTTTGTATTTTTAGTGGAGACAGGGTTTCACCATGTTGGTCAGGTTGGTCTCAAACTCCTGACCTCATGATCCACCTGCCTCGGCCTCCCAAAGTGCTGGGATTAGAGGCGTGAGCCGCGGTGCCCAGCCACCACAAATTCTTTGGTAAAGAATCTGTCTCCTTTTTCTTCTCCCCTTTATTTTATTTATTTAGAGATGTGGTCTAGCTCTGTTTTCCAGGCTAGAGTGCAGTGGCACAATCTTGGCTCACTGCAGCCTCCACCTCCTGGGTTTCAGTGATTCTCCTGCCTCAGCCTCCCGAGTAGCTGAAATTACAGGCATGCGCCACCATGCCTGGCCAGTTTTTGTATTTTTAGTAGAGATGTGGTTTCATCATGTTGTCCAGGCTGGTCTCAAACTCCTGGCCTCGAGTGATCTGCCCGCCTTGGCTTCCCAAAGGGCATGGATTATACTACAGGTGTGCGCCACCACACCCAGCTCATTCTTCTATTTTTTAGTAGAGATGGGGTTTCACCATGTTGGCCAAACTAGTCTTCAACTCCTGACCTCAGGTGATCTGCCCATCTGCCCGCCTCAGCCTGAAGTGCTGGGATTATAGGCATGAGCCACCTTGCCTGGCCATCTACCTTTAATTAATTAATTAACTAACTAATTTTTTGAGACAGAGTCTTGCTCTGTTGCCCAGGCTGGAGTGCAATGGTGCTATCGGAGGTCACTGCAACCTCCACCTCCCGGGTTCAAGTGATTCTCCTCCCTCAGCCTCCTAAGTAGCTGGGATTACAGGCCTGTGCCACCACACCAGGTTAATTTTTGTATTTTTAGTAAATACAGGCTTTCACCATGCTGATCAGGTGGTCTTGAACTCCTGATCTCGTGATCCGCCTGCCTCAGCCTCTCAAAGTCCTGGGATTACAGGTGTGAGCCACCGCACTGACCCTACCTTTATTCTTAAATGTAAAATACAATCGATCTATTTTTCTTGCCTATATGCTGCTATTTTATTCAAGTTCTTAAACTTTCATTATTTTTTAGTGACTGACCAGTATTATTGTAATTTATTGAACTGACTCAATAAATTCAAATGAGCTGAAGCCAATTCAAAACAGCTGAAGGTTCTGCTTCATAAACCATTTCGATGAACATTCCTTCCAGTACAATCTTGTGTACAAACATAAGGACTTCCTTTGATAAATTCTGGACAAAGCTGCCTACTGAAGAATGTTGAGTCTGGTCAGGTGCGGTGGCTCACGCCTGTTATCCCAGCACTTTGGAAGGCTGAGGTGGGCGGATCACTTGAGGTCAGGAGTTTGAGACCAGCCTGGCCAATATTGTGAAACTCTGTTTCTACAAAAAATACAAAAATTGGCTGGGTGTGGTGGCACACACCTGTAGTCCCAGCTACTTCAGAGGCTGAGGCAGGCGGATCACTTGAACCAGGGAGGCAGAGGTTGCAGTGAGCCGAGACTGTGACACTGCACTCCAGCCTGGGTGACAGAGTGAGACTCCATCTCAACAACACCAACAACCAGAAAATGTTGAGTCTCCCACCCTTGGCAAAATCACAGTGGGCTATTTTCTTCCGTGTCTCTAAGGAGTGGAGGGAACATGTCCTCCAGATGGATTCAATAGACGGAGAGCATCTACACTATTACACATGGGATGGGGCTCTGTCAAGCCAGGCTTGGTGGCTCATGCCTGTAATCCCAGCACTTTGGGAGGTTGAGGAGGGAGGATTGCTCGAGCTCAGGAGTTTGAGAACAGCCTGGTCAACATGGCAAAACCTCATCTCTACAAAAAATTAAAAAATTAGCCAGGTATGGTGGTGTGACACCTGCAGTCCCAGCTACGCGGGAAGCTGAAGTGGGAGGATCGCTTGAGCCCACGAGGTTGAGGCTGCAGCGAGCTGTGATCATGTCACCATACCTCCAGCCTTGGTGACAAGAGCAATAAATTGTCTCAAAACAATACCACCACCAACACACACACAAAAGACTGCTTTCTTGGTATAGGAAAAGTAAGGGTAAATAATAAAACGACAAATGCTTGTATTACTGCACTGAGGAAGTCCTTCCTAAGGACTATGAAGAATTCTATAGCCTCAAATCACTGCTGTGATCAAAGGGGGGAAAATCTGCCCTAAATTCACAAAACCTTAAGCTGAGAATTTAATTTTGCCTGATCGCAATGGAAGCAAATGCCAATTCTCTCTGGATGAACCTGCCTTCATTACACACTTCAAAGAATTCCCATATACAAAATTCCAAGGAAGATGAGCAGCTTACAGTAGAAAATTACCAAACACAAAGGAAACTACACAACATGGGCAAAATGTACCAAGAGTGATGGAGGACAGAAACAGATCTCTAAGGACTTTAGATAATGGAATTACAAAATAAATATGAAATAACTGTGTTTCATATATCTAAAGAAATAAGAGACTGTTTCAAAAATATACATGGGGCATAATAGATTATAAAGGAGGAGAAACAGGGCTGCGCACAGTGGCTCCTCCTGCCTGTAATCCCAGTGCTTTGGGAGGCTGGGAAGATTGCTTAAGCCCAGGAGTTCGAGACCACCCCGGGCAACATGGCAAAAGCCTATGTCTACAAAAATTAGCTGGTCCATACCAGGTGGCAAGATCACCTGAGCTTGGGAGGTTGAGGCTGCAGTAAGCCATGATCGTGCCACTGCACTCCAGCCGGGGTGACAGAGTGAGACCGTGTCTCAAACAAACAACAACAATCCCTTGCAAAAAACAAGCAGATTTGAAAAAAAAAAAAAAAAAAGAACTTCAGGAAATGAAAACTGTACTAATTGGGCTGAGTGTGGTGGCTCATGCCTGTAATCCCAGCACTTTGAGAGGCCAAGGTGGGTGGATCACCTGAGGTTAGGAGTTCAAAACCAGTCTGCCCAATATGGTGAAACCCCATCTCTACAAAACATACAAAACTAGTTGGGTGTGGTGGTAGGCGCGTAACCCCAGCTGCTTGAAAGGCTGAGGCAGGAGAATCGCTCTAACCTGGGAGGCGGAGGTTGCAGTGAGCAGAGATTGCACCATTATTGCACTCCAGCCTGGGCAACAAAAGTGAAACTCCATCACACACACACACACACACACACACACACACACAGAAAGAAAAAGAAAAGAAGAAAACTGTACTAAATGAAATTGAAAATTTTATGGAGAAGTTTAATAACACATTACACCCAACTGGAGAGGAGGCAAACTGAAGGTTAGCGATGATAAAAAAAATTGTCCAGAATACAGCAAAGACAAATAGGTAGAAAAAACTGAAAGAGTGGTTTAGAGACATGAGGGGTAGGATGAGAAAGTCTGACTCATGTCTAGCCAAAATCTGAGAAGGGGCTGGGTGCACTGGCTGACACCTGCGATCCCAACACTTTGGACAGTGTGCCAAGGCTGAGGAGGGAAGATAGCTTGAGGTCAGGAGTTCGAGACCAGGCTGGCCAACATAGTAAAACCCCATCTCTACTAAAAATACAAATATTAGCTGGGTGTGGTGGCGCATACCTATAGTCCCAGCTACTTGGGAGGCTGAGGCAGGAGAATTGCTTGAACCCGGGAGGTGGAGGTGGCAGTGAAACTGAGCAACAAAGTAAGACTCAAAAAAAAAAAAAAGGTCTGGGAAGGAAAAGATAGACTGGAACACCGGCACTGCCTCAAGTGACAATGAGACATTTTCACAGTGAACAAAAGACACTAAATCAGCATCCAAAGAATCCAAAATAAATTCACTCCTAGACACATTCTAAGATCTTAAAATCCCCAGATATAAAACACATATTAGCTTCCAAGGAGCAATAGTGTCTCACACCTGACTCCATGAAAATAATCAAAGCCAGAAATCAGGGGAAGGATATCTTGAATAATATCCCCTGTATGCTAAGGGAAAATAACTGTCACCCTAAAACCTAAACCCAGAGAAAATACCTCCCATAAGTGAGGCTGAAATAATGACATTCTCAGTTGGGTGCAGTGGCTCATGCCTGTAATCCCAGCACTTTGTGAGGCCAAGCTGGGCAGATCACCGAAGTAAGGAGTTCAAGACCAGCCTGGCCAACATGGCGAAACCCTATTCGCTAGTAAAAATACAAAAACTAGCCAGTCGTGATGGTGGGCGCCTGTAATCCCAGCTACTCGGGGATTACAACCTCCGCCTCCCAGGTTCAAGTGATTCTCCTGCCTCAGCCTCTGAGTAGCTGGCAGAGGTTGCAGTGAGCTGAGATTGTGCCAGTGCGCTGTGGCCTAGGCAACAGAGTGAGACGCTATCTCCAAAAATAAATAAATAAACATAATAATAATAATAAAAAGGACATTCTCAAATAAGCAAACACAGTGTTAGCCACCAGTAGACTCTCATTACAGAAGTTCTAAAAGAAATAATTCAGGCAGAAAGAAAGTGTTTTCAGATGGAAAATCTATGGATAACACTGAATAAAACAAGTAAAATGAAACAATAAGTTACAGGGTTTAAAGATAAACAACCAAAACCAAAATACATGGTTATACTAACATATAAATTGAAGGACTGAATGGAACTAAAGTATTATAAAGTCTTTGTGTTATATAGAAAACAAAGATATGAAAGGCAGATGTAGGTAAACCAAGCAAGCATTTTGTAATTATTAGAGAACATACCAAAAACAAAAAAGTAGATTTGTTTTTTAACCTCTCAAATAGTAATGAGGAAACAAACAGAATGAGAAAAAAACACCCAGCCCATCCAAAAGAAGGCAAGGAATGAGAGAAATAGAAGCAGAGCAGACAGGACAGATAGCATAAAATAAAATGGGAGAGAGATAAATCTAAACATATCATGTATCATAATAAATGTAAATGGGCTAAATGCCCAGTTAAAAGACAAAGACTACCATTCTGAATTAAAAACAACAACAAACCACACAAAATCCAACCAAATGTTATTTATAAATGTTATTTCTAAAATATAAAAATACATGAATGCTTAAAGTAAAAAGATGGAGAAATATATACCAGGCAAATTCTACCAAAAAGGAAAATTACCTAAGCTTTACATGTTACAGGGAAAGTTTTCTAGCACACTGCTGGGCAATCTGGGAACAACTCTCAACTTTGTTCTGGTACTAGTATTATGACCTGAGGAAAAGCTGCTTCCCTTTCTGGGCCTGTGTTTCCTCACCTATGATAGGTAGATAGGACTACACAGTTGCCAACACTTTGTAAGTGCAGACAGATACAGGTAAGACTGTGCAAAAAGGCTAAAGTAGTAGTTCTCAACCGGTAGAGGCAGAAGAACATATCAGAGTCAGAGAAGGAGACTTTTTTAGTTCTTTCCTTTCTGAGATAAGAGTCTTGTTCTGTAGCCCAATCTCAGCTCACTGCAACCTCTGCCTCCCAGGTTCAAGTGAGTCTCCTGCCTCTCAAGTAGCTGCGATTATAGGCACACACCACCACGCCTGGCTAATTTTTGTATTTTTAGTAGAGACAGGGTTTTACCACGTTGGCCAAGCTGGTCTCAAACTCCTAACCTCAGGTTACCTTCCTGCCTCGGCCTCCCAAAGTGCTAGGATTACAGGCATGAGCCACTGCACCTGACCAAGGGAGAGTCTTCAAAATGCAGATTAGCCCTCTCTACATACACATCCCTGGACATCAGAATATGGGGTGATTGGGGCGTGTGTACAGAAATGCTCGTTTCCTTCAACTGTGGTATTGCCACCTACCTCCTCCCGCATCCTAAAGCACTGAGGATCCCTAAATGGGAAAGAAAACTCTCTGGCATTAAGAATTGGTTATGCTTCTTGCTGCCATATCTTGTTAAAAAAAAAAAAAAAAAAAAAGAAGAATAAAAAAAGAATTGGGTATGCTTGGTCGAGCGAGATGGCTCACGCCTGTAATCCCAGCACTTTGGAAGGCTGAGGTGGGTGGACCACAAGGTCAGGAGATGGAGACCATCCTGGCCAATATGGTGACACCCCGTCTCTACTAAAAATACAAAAAGTAGCTAGGCATGGTGGTGGACACCTGTAGTCCCACCTGCTCAGGAAGCTGAGGCAGGAGAATCACTTGAACCTGGGAGATGAGCCAAGATCGCGCCACTGCACTCCTCCTTGGGTGACAGAGCAAGAGTCTGTCTCAAAAAAGAACTGGGTATGCTAATTCTAATTCTCAATGCACTGTGACTCCAAAGGGACCAGTGGAAGAAGAGAAGAAGCAGGAACTGTGGGCTGGGCACAGTGGCTCATGTGTGTGATCCCAGCAATTTGGGAGGCTGAGGTGGGAGGACTGCTTGAGGCCAAGAGTTCAAGACCAGCCTGGGCAGCATAGCAAGACCCCGTCTCTACCAAACAAGAAAGAAAGGAAAAAAAAGCAGGAACCATGGCAGTGTAACTACTGCTGAGGAATCCCAATGCCTGGACAGCTTTGTGACATGAATTTCCATTGGCAGGAGAAGTTCCCAGGCCCTGAAACTTTCTTGAAGACTATGGATATCATGGTACTCTTTGGGGGCATTCTTAGTCCCTCCCTGATGCTCATGGAGAAATCCTCAACAAGCTGAAGGAGATGAAGCCATTTCATTCTCCAGTCCTTGCTCTGCAGCCTCTGGGGAAGGAGAGGAGGTGCAGGTGGCTCCTGGGTTCATATTCAAACTCACCCACATCCTGCTCATGTCACTCAGTTCATTTCTGTATCTCAGAGAGTCCTTCAGGACCTGCAGAGGGGAAGGAACAGGCTGTGAGAGAATGGAGAAGGAAGGAGAGACAAAGTGAAGGAGGATGGAGAGAGGCGGAGGTGAGGCTGGGGCAGGAGGACAGGCTGATGGGAGAGAGCTCACCCACCTCTAATGGGAACCCAAAGGCCAGGAGAAGGGGGCAGTGTGGGAGAGGACAGCAGCCTCTGTGGCCCAGGTGGTCACTTTCCCCACAAGCATCCCTGGCTCCCTGCCACCGTACAGTCTCAGGAACTCACGTTCGGGTGTCCATCTCGGAGGAGTTTGTGGAACACATGGCAGAACTTCCAGCAGAGCACTGCGTTGCTAGACAGAGGCAGGCGATTGACGACAGACCAAAAGGTCTGTGCCCCTTTCTCATGGTGGGTGCCCAGTATGCACGGTAAGGGGGGGTTATGGAAAACAATGACATGGGCCCTGCCTCCTGGGGGCCAGTCTGCATCCAGCCACTGCAGGGGGTCACGCCCGCACCCCACCGCTGCAGGGGGTCACGCCCGCACCCCACCGCTGCAGGGGATCACGCCCGTACCCAGCCGCTGCAGGGGACCGAGCAGTTGTGCAAGCCATGGTTGGCAGTGACTTGGAGGGAGTGCCGCTCAGATCTAAAATACCACAGAACTGTATGTTCATTCTGGGAGTTTTAGGGCAGATGGCAATACTTGTTTTAATAAAATCCACTTGATTAGACCATTTCTCAAGATGGAAGTATCTTTTCCTAATTTGCACAAATGCCCTGCAGGCCAGGGTAGTACCGGGCTGCCCTTTCTGTGAGAATGCTGAGTTGGTGATAGGTCCCTTGGGAATAACTACAGCTATTTGCTGCGGTGGTTGAGATAGGGTCTTGCTCTGTCGCCAGACTGGAGTGCAGTGATATGATCATAGCTCACTGTAACCTCAAGCTCCTGGGTTCAGGCAATCCTCCTACCTCAGCCTCCTAAGTAGCTGGGGCTATAGGTATGCACCACTATGCCTGGATAAGTTAAATTTTTGGTAGAGATCTTGCTATGTTGCCCAGGCTGGTCTCAAGCTCCTGGCCTCAAGCAATCCTCCCCTTTTGGCCTCTCAAAGTGCGGGGGTTACAGGTATGAATCACTGTGCCTGGTCTTACGACACCTAACTTTTTAACAGCACTTGAACGGCTGGGCACAGTGGCTCACACCTGTAATCCCAGCACTTTGGGAGGCCGAGGCAGGTGGATCACCTAAGGTCAGGAGTTTAAGACTAGCCTGGCCAACATGGTAAGACCCCGTGTCTACTAAAAACACAAAAAATTAGCTGGGTGTGGTGGCGGGCACCTGTAATCCCAGCTACTCAGGAGGCTGAGGCAGGAGAATCGCTTGAACTTGGGAGGCAGAGGTTGCAGTGAGCTGAGATTGCGCCACTGCACTCTGGGCGACAGAGCAAGACTCCATCTCTATATAAATAAATGTCCATCTGGCCTCACATGACCTTAAGTTCAGCATCCAGATCTCTGTCATTAGTGAGCCCTTTTTGGAGCGAGGAATTTCCACTTGTCTTTTGTAATTGTGTATTTCCACACGATTCAGTAACTGGGCACTACCAACTGTAAGGCCAACTCTGTGCCCGGAACGTTAAGCTTTCCTCAGCAAGGCTCAGGTCTCAAGCGCAGTGCCATTTAGGGCAGAAAGACTCGCCTCAGGTAGGAAACGAAATGACTCACTCAGAGCACATGTTATTTTGGTTCTGAGCTGGAAGATACCACAAAGTTTCTTTCCCTGATGACATTTGCATTGAGAGAGGGGTGGGCTTGGACAGATATTTGGGTCTGGAAGCTAAAGTCAGCTTTTGGTGTAAGAGTGTTTCTTTTCCTTTCTTCTTTTCTTTTCTTTTCTTTCGAGACAGGGTCTTGCTCGGTTGCCCAGCCTAGAGTGCAGTATGGCACGATCTTGGCTCACTGCAGCCTCCGCCTCTCAGGTTCAAGTGTTTCTCGTGCCTCAGTCTCCCAGTAGCTGGGATCACAGGCATGTGCCACCATGCCTGGCTAATTTTTGCATTTTTAGTAGAGAAGGGGTTTTGCTGTGTTGCCCAAGCTGGTCTCGAACTCCTGGCCTCAAGAGATCTGCCCCACTTGGCCTCCCAAAGTTCTGGGCATGAACCCCCCATGCCCGGCCTTGGTGTAGGAGTGATTTCTGAAATAATTTTTGGTTCCACCTAAAGTACAGCCCTTACAGACTGCAGGAAGCAGTGAGGAGAGACTGGCAGCCCCCAGCCTCCCCGCACTCACTTCTCCCAGCAAACAGGGCTTACTTTTCCTGAAAGCAGCCTCCTAAACAGAGCTAGCCAGACACCCTGGCTTTATTTTATTAAATTTAAATTACTTTTCTTAATTTATTTTTTAGAGTCTCCTTCTGTTGCTCAGCCTGGAATGCAGTGGTGAAATATAGTTCATTGCAGCTTCCAACTCCTGGGCTCAAGTGACCCTCCCTACTCAGTCTCCCAAGAAGCTGGGACTATAGGCATGCACCATCACACTCAACCAATTTACTTTTTGTACAGAGGGATCTTGCTATGTTGCCCAGGCTGGTCTTGAACTCCTGGAATTATCTGATCCTCCTGCCTTGGTCTCCCAAAGTGCTGGGATTACAGATGCAAACCACCGCACCTGGCTGAGACACCCTGACTTTCAAATGGTCAAGGGGACCTTCCTGGCATTCTTTCACATTCTAAGCATTTTTATGCCCCAGTTACGTGTCAAAGACTGTAAAATGCATTCAGGGAGAAAAAAGAAAGAAAATAAGAAAAATAAGACTCAGTCCCCAGCCCTCCAGGAGTGAATATCAAGGTGGCGGGCCAACCGGTTCAGCATCTGGGCATCTGTTGATAAATGTCTAAGCAGCATTTCTGAAGTCAGACTTCCTAATGCTTATTTACTTTGTATCTAAGGCAGCTGACAGAAGACTCGATAATACATAAAGGGGCTGAGCGCAGTGGCTCATGCCTGTAATCCCAGCACTTTGGAAGGCCCAGTGGGCGGACTGCTTGAGCTAGCTGGGAGTTCGAGACCAGTCTGGACCACAGCGAGACCCTGTCTCTGTAAGAAATTAGCCAGGCATAATGGTGTGTGCCTACAGTCCCAGCTACTCGGGAGGCTGAGGCGGGAGGATCACTTGAGCCTAGGAGTTAGAGGCTGCAGTGAGCCTCCAACTGATTGTGCCACTGCACTTCAGACTGGGTGACAGTGTGTGACCTACCTCAAAAAAAAAAAAAAAAAAAATCTTGGGGATATCTCTAACTAGGCATTTAAAACTCTACTGTATGGAGTTGATTTTTCAACATTTATTCACCGTTTAGAAATCGTGAATCAGAGACTAATGTTAAAGCTGGATTGTTATATCTTTGAAAAAAAAATTTTTTTTTGAGACTGAATTTCACTCTTGTTGCCCAGGCTGGAGTGCAATGGCACAATCTCAGCTCACCGCAACCTTTGCCTCCCGGGTTCAAGTGATTCTCCTGCCTCAGCCTCCCAGGTAGCTGGGATTATAGGTGCCCCCACCATGCCCAGCTAATTTTTGAATTTTTAGTAGGACGGTTCACCATGTTGACCAGGCTGGTCTTGAACTCCTGACCTCAGGTGATCCATTTGCCTCCACCTTCCAAAGTGCTGGGATTACAGGCGTGAGACATTGCACCTGGCCCAAAATCTTCTGTGTTCAACTCCTCGATCAAACAGAAAGTGACGTAAGGCTCATGGAGGCCCCCACTCAAGGTCCCAGAGTGAGCCCAAGAGTTCCAGGACCTTGCAGGATCCCTTCCCTCCTCCCAGGAAGCCGCCCTGGCAGCATGTGACCTGACCTTCCTGCTGCAGGCCTGGCCTCTCTGCCCCCATGTCTTGTCCTGAAGGGCCCAGTGATAACTGTCTCTCCCTTACGCGTATTTTTTTTTTTTTATTCAAGATGGAGTCTCGCTCTATTGCTTAAGCTGGAGTCCAGTGACACGATCTCGGCTCACTGTAACCTCTGCCTCCTGGGTTCAAGCAATTCTCCTGCCTCAGCCTCCTGAGTAGCTGGGATTATAGGCATGCGCCACCACGCCCAGCTAATTTTTTGTATTTTGAGTTGAGACGGGGTTTCACCATGTTGGCCAAGCTGGTCTTGAACTCCCAACCTTGTGATCCACCCAGCTTGGCCTCCCAAAGTGCTGGGATTACAGGCGTAAACCACTGGCACCCAGCACCTCACTCATATATCAGATTGATCACAAATTATTAATAGGTCAAGGCTGCGTCATTTCCTCTGAGAAAATCAACTGGGCCATTTAAAATAAAGGCTTTTCTTGGTTTGGTTTGAATCACTGCAAGGGTACGAAACGCGATAGAAGAAAGCAAGGGGCCTGTGTCTTTCTGGGGAAAAGAGAGTAAGATTCAGCTAGGCTTGCTGTAGGGCTAGACTTCTGGGTTAGCCTAGAGAGGTTCCGCAGCCCCCATCCTAAATCCAGCCAAAGCATCTTCCTGCTAACGGTGAGCAGCTTTCCCTCTAGCAAACAGTTCACATGCCACACTAAGCAATGCTGGGCTTCTCTGGCTATCTAACCTGGAGGGTCAGTCGCCTCTATGGGTTTGGGACACGCTTCTCTGTCCCGATGGCTTTGGGACACACTGCTCTGGTCTGCCTCACTGCGGCAAAACCACCAAGAGCCCAGGCAAGGAGGAGCTTCCCACTGCAGACAGAAGTCCAGCCTCCGAGGCTGGGTGTGGTGGCTGATGCCTATAATTCCAGCATTTTGGGAGGTCAAGACAGGAAGATTGGTTGAGCTCTGGAGTTTGAGAACAGCCTGAGCAACATGGTGAAACCCCGTCTCTACTAAAAACACAAAAAACTAGCCAGGGGTAGTGATACACACCTGTGGTCCCAGCTACTTGGGAGGTTGAGGCAGGTGGCTCTCTTGAGCCTGGGAGGCAGAGGTTGTAGTGAGCAGAGATCACACCACTGCACTCCAGCCTGGGTGACAGAGCAAGACTCCGTCTCAACAATGACAACAAAAGAGGCCTGGGGCAGTGGCTCACGCCTGTAATCCCAGCACTTTGGGAGGCTGAGGCGGGCGGATCACGAGGTCAAGAGATCAAGACCATCCCGGCCAACATAGTGAAACCCCATCTCTACTAAAAAATACAAAAATTAGCTGGGCATGATGGCGCACCTGTAATCCCAGCTACTCAGGAGGCTGAGGCAGAAGAATTGCTTGAATGTGGGAGGCGGAGATTGCAGTGAGTGGAGATGGAGCCAGTGCATTCCAGCCTGGGCAACAGAGCAAGACTGTCTCAAAAAGAAAAAAAGTCTGGACTCCGCTTGCCAGGAACTCCACGTTGCTCTGGCCCAGCAAACGAAGAGTTAAAAGCGTAGCCACCCCCCTGGCAGCCTCTCTCTTTCAGCCTTTGGGGATTATGCTCTCCAGCTCCAGGATCCTGCCACTCAAAGGCAGAGCTCTAGGGATTCACCAGCCAGTACGGTCCTGCCTTTCTACAGAACCACAGGCTGCTCCTATGTGTGGCGGGTTTACCAGAGGGGTTTCAAGTCACCCATTCCCTAATCCACTCCAAGGCTCTTGTCTTCTGTCCTCTGGCATAGATTGAACCTGTTCACGAAGGTAGAGCCCCTGCCTCGGTTTAAGGTCAACCAACCACTGAAGCTAAGAATTTTTTTTCAGCCGGGGGTGGTGACTCATGCCTGCAATCCCAACACTTTAGGAGGCTGAGGCCAGGCGTTCAAGACCAGCCTGGCCAACATGGCGAAACCCTATCCCTACTAAAATTACAAAATTAGCCGGGTGTGGTGGCACATGCCTGTAATCCCAGCTACTCAGGATGCTGAGGCATAAGAATCGCTTGAATCCAGGAGGCGGAGGTGGCAGTCAGCCGAGAACATGCCACTCCCCTCCGGCCTGGGAAACAGAGTGAGACTATCTCAAAAAAGAAAAAAAAAAAAATTCTCTTTTTCTTTCTTTCTTGTTGTTTTTCTGCTTTCGTGCTTAGAAAAGAAGATGGTTATTGATTGTCTCTGTGGGCAAAGAGAGGACCTGGAGGGCTTTGACAGTGGTGAGAACCCCTCTTGACCCTCAGGGAGATCTCTCAGCAGAAAGTGACTGTCAAGTGACTTCAACGTTCTCCAAAGCTTGAGTCGGCCAGATGCGGTGGCTCACTTTGGGATTACAGAGGAGGGAGGATTGCTTGAGGCTAGGAGCTTGAGACCAGCTTGGGCGATGAGCAATACCCCATCTCTACAAAACAGAAAATAAATTAGCCAGGTGTAGTGGTGCACACCTGTAGTCCCAGCTACTCGGGAGGCTGAGACAAGAGGACTGCGTGAACCCAGGAGTTGGAGGCTGCAGTGAATTGTGATTGAGCCACTGCACTCCAGCCTGGGCAACACAGCAAGACCCCATTTGGAAACAGAAAACAAGGAATGCTTTAGTCCTCAAGGAAAGGAGCAGGATCTTTGGCAAATAGAAAGGTCTGGGCTCCACGGCCTCCTTGGCCTCTGCCACCCTGAAGGTCTGTGCTCTCTGGGAAGCTGCCGTCATCAGAAGCTGCAGGGCCTGGCCTGTGCAGGCCTGCCCCTTCCTGGAGCTGAGCAAGGGAGCCTGGCCCTGACCTCAGGCCCCGCAATTTAACCTCCCTCGTGGTCGGTCTTCCAAGCAACATCCGAAAGGATATTTCTGGCGTGTTTTTCCTTTACAGCCACTTCCTGCGTATTAATGGCCTTATTGATGCTGACAGTCTGAAAAACAAGAAGCGGGGAGGGGAAGGAGGACGCGATGAATAAGCCTCTGAGAGCGGCTGAGACCCTCCCAGTTGCCCGCCCCTTTCTCCTCCCCCAGTGATCCTCCCCCCGCCCCACGGGTGGTCGGTCCCTCTGCAGGCGCCCAGCTGGGGGCAGAGGTGGGCAGCACTCCCGGGAGCCAGCTGGCCGGGCTGTCCTGAGGGAGCGGGCACCGCTGCCTGGCATTGGCTGTGCCCAGCTGCTGCTCCCGCCTGCCACTCAGTCCCTTGGCACAACACATGGCAATGAAAGCCCGAACAAAGAGATGCTTTTCAGCCCCCAGGGAAACATTAGTTCTCCGGGGAGCAGGAGGAAGAGGCGCAGAGATCAGGGAGCAACCAGGGAACAAGCGTGGCCCAGGACCCCCCAGCTGCCTCTGTCTCCCCTCTAAACCTTCCCCAGAGCCTTCCCCAGCTGGCCAGCACCGGCATGGCCACTGAGTCTTTGTTTTCCCACACTCTTGGGCATTTTCCAACTCCTAAGCGAATTCCTCGCACTTCCTTAAAGACATCAAAGGACATTAAACATTCCCCCTCAATCCTTTTAAAAATAACCTTTTTTTTTTTTTTTTGAGGGGTCTTGCTCTGTTGCCCAGGCTGGAGTGCAGTGGCATGATCTCAGCTCACTGCAACCTCCGCCTCCCGGGTTCAAGCAATTCTCCTGCCTCAGCCTCCCAAGTAGCTGAGATTGCAGGTGCATGCTACCATGCCTGGCTAATTTTCGTATATTTAGTAGAGACGGGGTTTCACCATGTTAGCTGGCCAGCTGGTCTCGAAATCCTGACCTGTGGTGATCTGCCCACCCCAAAGTACTGGGATTACAGGGTTTTTTTGTTTGTTTTTGTTTTTTTTTACACAGAGTCTTGCTATGTCACCCAGGCTGGAGTGCAATGGCACAATCCCAGCTCACTGCAACCCCTGCCTCCCGCATTAAAGTGATTCTCCTGCCTCAGCCTCCCAAGTAGCTGGGATTACAGGGGTGCACTACCACACCCAAGTAATTTTTGTATTTTTAGTATAGATGGGGTTTCACCATGTTGACCAGGCTGGTCTCGAACTCCTGACCTCAAGCGATCCTCCCGCCTCTGCCTCCCAAAGTGCTGGATTACAGGAGTGAGCCACTGTGCCGGGCTAAATCATAACTCTTTTTAATTTTGCAAAGCACATATCTATAGGAGTACCATTTACACAAACACAGAAATGTGATTATTCCATGTTGGCTGTTTTCTAAAGTACAGATTTTCTCCTTTTTCTGTTTTGATGTCATTCTATCCCTGACCCATATTAAAAACCTGTTATGTGTCACATACATATACCCACACATACACATAAACACCTACATACTGAAGAGGTTACAAAAATTAGATTGTCTTATACAGATTTCTCTACATCTTGCTTTTCTTACTTAAATGTATCTCCTAGAAAATTCTGTAAATGGGGTGCAAAACCCCCTGTTTTTTCAGAGAGATAGGATCTTGTCCTCTCCCCCAAACTGGAGTACAGTGGCACAATCATGGCTCACCCGTAGCCTCCAACTCCTGGGCTCTAGCAATCCTCCTGCCTCAGCCTCCTGAGTATCCACCATGCTCAGTTACTTTCTTTATTTTTAGTAGAGACAAGGTCTCACTGTGTTGCCCAGACTGGTCTCAAACTCCTGGCCTCAAGTAATCCTCCTACCTCAGCCTCCCTCCCAAAGCACTGGGATTACAGGCATGAGCCATTGTGCCCAGCCAGGAATTATCTTTAAAATTTTAGGTGTGATAAATATATTGTGGTTTAATTTTTAAAGAGGTTTTTTTCTAAAGGTTCATACTGAAATATTTACTGGCAAGATGATATAATGTCTAAGATTTACTTCAAATAATCCAGAGAATAAAAAATTTCGTGGCTGATGGTATAGACCTATGGATCAGCAAACCACGGTTACAAGCCAAAACCAGACCAGATTGACACTTGGTTTTGAAAATAAAGCACTTTGGGAGGCCGAGGCGGGTGGGTCACCTGAGGTCAGGAGTTCGAGACCAACCTGGCCAACACGGTAAAACTCTGTCTCTACTAATATACAAAAATTATTCCTTATTTTCAATCTCAGAGAAAAAGAAAAAAAAAAACAAAACAAAAATTAGCTGGGCATGGTGGCAGGCGCCTGTAATCCCAGCTACTCAATACTTGGGAGGCTGAGGCAGGAGAATCGCTTGAACCTGGGAGGCAGAGGTTGCAGTGAACCGATATCCCACCATTGCACTCCAGCCTGGGCAAGAGAGCAAGACTCCCTCCCAAAAAAGTAAAGAAAGAAACAAAGCTTATTACAATTCCTGACCTCAAGTGATCTGCCTGCCTCAGCCTCCCGAAGTGCTGGGATTACAGGTGTGAGCCACCACAACTGGCCTGACTTTTGTATTTTTAGTAGAGACGGGGGGCTCACCATGTTGGCCAGGCTGATCTCGAACCCTTGACCTCAGGTGATCTGCCCGCCTTAGCCTCCCAAAGTGCTGGGATTACAGGAGTGAGCCACTGCACCTGCCAACTTTTTCTTTTTTTTTTTCAAGAAAGGGTCTTGCTATGTTGTCTGGGCTGGGCTGGACTTGAGCTCCTGGGTTCTGGCAATCCACCTGCCTCAGCCTCTCAAGTAGCTGGAACTACAGCTACACGCCACCACATCCAGCTGCTGGTTTTAAAATTTTTTGACTATGTTCTTAAATCCATGTCTCCTTACATGTTCTCTTCTCCCTACCAGGCTTGACTTAAACAGTATAACCTCTGTTGTGAGATGAATTGTGTACCCCCTCCCCACAAAAAGATATAATCATGTCCAACCCCTTCCCCTGTACCTATGAATATGATCTTATTTGTAAACAGGGCATTTGCAGACGTAATTAGTTAAAATGAGGTCATACTGGAGTAGGGTCATATTAGGGAATGTAATACAACTGGTGCTCCTCGGAGAAGACGTAGGGATCCAGAGACACGCAGGGAGGACGCTGCGTGAAAACAGGCAGAGAAGAGGGATGTGCCTACAAGCCAAGGAATGCCAAGGACAGCCAGTGGCCACGAGAAGCTAGAAGGGATCCTTCCCAGCCAGGTGCAGTGGCTCATGCCTGTAATCACAGCACTTTGAGAGGCAGAGGCAGACAGATCACTTGAGGCCAGGGGTTCGAGACCAGTGTGGCCAAGACAGCTAAACCCTGTTTCTACTAAAAAATACAAAAATTAGCCAGATGTGGTGGCACATGCCTGTAGTCCCAGCTACCAGGGAGGTTGAGGTGGGAGGATCGCTTGAGCCCAGCAGGCAGAGGTTGCAGTGACGGCACCACTGCACTCCAGCCTGGGCGACAGAGCAAAACGCTGTCTCCAAGAAAACAAAAAAAGATGCAAGAAAGAAGTGAAGAGTTCATTCCCCAAACCTCTCCACGAAGCAGTGCTGCTCTCCTATGGAGACACAGTGCTTACAGCTTCTTAACACGCCCTTCCCTGGGCCGTGTCCTCAGCCTCTGCTAACAGAACTGACCCAAGCACTCTCTTCTCTGCACATTTCTCCCAGTGCGTTACAGCCTCTTAAACCATGTTCTTCCCTTGGCACCATGACAATGGCAAAATTCTGGCTGCAGACAGACCCCTGGGCAAAGTCTCCATACTTCCGGAGCCCATAAAGGTTGTCTGCAGTCAGAAAGGACTGACGAGGCACATAAAAACATAGGAGGACAAGAAATCCAAGTCTGTAAGATACTGACCTGGATGTGGTCAATTTCCAGGGGTTTTGGGAGGGCCTGTAAGGAATATGGGCTGTGAGGAAGAGGAGCAAACCAGGTAGTTGGAAATGCTGGAAGTGGGGCTGGATGCAGTGGCTCATGCCTGTAATCCCAGCACCTTAGGAGGCTCAGATGGAAAGATCACTTGAGGCCAGGAGTTCAAGACCAGCCTGGGTAACATAGTGAGACCTCATCTCTACAAAAAAAATTAGCTGGGTATGGTGGTATGCACCTGTATTCCCAGCTACTCTGGAGACTGAGGTGGGAGGATCACTTGAGTGATCCAGGAGTTGGAGGCTGCAGTAAGCTGAGATTGTACCACTATACTCTAGTCTGAGTGATAGAGCAATACCTTGTCTTAGAAAAGAAGGAAGGGAGGAAGAAGGAAGGAAAGAAGGGAGGGAGGGAGGGAGGGAGGGAGGAAAGAAGGAAGGAAGGAAGGAAGGAAGGAAGGAAGGAAGGAAGGAAGGAAGGAGGAGGGGAGGGAGGAAGGGAGGGAAAAGGGAAGGAGGGAGGGAAGAAGGAAGGAAGAAACAAAGGGAAGAAGGAAGGGAAAGGAAAATGCTAGAAACTGCTTCAGGGCCTCCAGAGAGGACCCATGATGGGTGAGACTTAGATTTACCCTAAAAATATCTGTTCCCAGTGCCTGACCAATTGCTCAAGCTTGTGGCCATTACGAACCTTGCTCACAAAAACATCTTAAAGTAACAAATTTTAAAAATCCTTAAAAATGCCGTTAAGCCACGTAAAATAATATACCATGAGTTTGTAACTACCGATTCTCTGAGTGTGCGTGTATAGCTGAAATCAGGAAAGTTCTGTGCTATAAGTGTTAAAAAGAGAAAGCTTTTTAACTGAGACACTGCTCGAGGAAGACTTCTGTGGGAAGTCAAAAATTTCCTCTTCAAAGTTTCCTTCTTGTTAAAGAACAAATCATACGCGTGCTAATAACTCTTTGTGAAGCCCTATCCTGTGTAGCTGTGAGACACGCCATGCTTACAGGCACGTAGTACATTCTATGTCCTTGTACTTTAACCAAGATGTCTGTGTTGGACGTGCTCACAGGCGTGTCCCAGCTCTCCCTTGCTTTTACCTGTTAGAAAAGTTGTAAATTGTTAGCCAATCGGGTTTTAGTTTAGACTGCGAGGTCTGGCACCAGCCAATGGAGATCAGACACAGCAGTAAGGACGACCCCAAATGCATAAGGGAT